CGGTCCGTGCAGACTGAAATAAACAGCTCAGCGGGAAGCTGAAGGGAGGTGGTATTACAGTGCTGGTTAATCAGCATCGTTGCCATCCAGGACACGTCACTGTCAAGGAGAAGATCTGCACAAGAGACATCGAAGTGTTAGCTGTGAGTTTCCGTCCAAATTATTTACCCAGAGAGTTTGCCTGTGTTATTCTGGTAGTGGTTTATATAATACCAGGTACCGCACCAGACAGTTATTAGGAGGACTATTAAAACCTGGTCTACGGAGGCTGAAGATGCTCTGAGACGGTGCTTTGAGACCACAGACTGGAATGTCCTCTGTGAACCTCATGGAGACAACATCAACACCGTGACTGAGTGTGTGACAGATTATATAAACTTCTGTGTGGACAGCATCGTTCCAACAAGAACAGTAAGGTGCTTCCCCAATAACAAACCCTGGATCACCAGTGACCTGAAAAAGCTGCTGAACATCAAAAAGAACGCTTTCAGGGAGACAGGGAGTTATTGAAGATCACACAAAAACAACTGAAAAAACAGACTAAGAAGTGTAAGGACTACAGGAAAAAGTTGGAGAGCCAGCTCCAGCAGAACAACGTGAGGGATGTGTGGAATGGAATGAAGACTATCACTGGCTTTAAATTAAAGGGGGATCAGACTGATGGAGGTCTGGACAGAGCTAACGAACTGAACATGTTCTTCAATAGGTTCAGTCCCCCCCCCCGCTTGTTATTCTTTATGGTCTTAAATCTGTCCTTCACTCTTCTAAAACAGAAGAAAGTTAGCTGACCAAGAGACAGAATCCTTCTTCTGTTTTACATCAAGTTACTGTTCTAATGTCAACAGAGCTCCAACTGGTGTCAGTCAAACTATTCGCTTTCTGTATTTTTAGTGTTTTGTCAGAAATGAGGATTATGAAGTGAGGAAGTAAATCTAACTCATGGGAAGTGTATTGGAATGTGCCTTAAAAAGGAATCCTCAAACTAGGCAGATGTTCAATATTTGAACATGAAAACTGTGTTCTTGCTGGATCTTGTTTTTCGAACGAAGATTCCCATGATGCACTGCACACTGAGAAGTCATACTGTATGTAGGAGCGCTGACCTGGCTGGCACCTCTTATTTACATACTTAAAAATAAAAACCTAAAATGCCTTAGCTAAACCGTCACCTGGTATATAAAGGATGCTGTAAACAGCACTGCTGCTACTGTGCAGCTCTTTGAGGTTTTATATATTGCTTCTCTGAGCAGCTAGCAGGGACAGTTACTGACTTTTGCCAAATACACTGCTCAAAAAAATAAAAGGAATATTAAAATAACACATCCTAGATCTCAATGAATGAAATATTCCAGTTGAAAATCTTTATTCATGACATAGTGGAATGGGTTGAGAACAAAATAACATAAAAATGATCAATTTAAATCTAAATTATTATCCCATGGAGGTCTGGATTTGAGTCATACTCAAAATAAAAATGGAAAATCACATCACAGGCTGATCCAGCTTCAGTGGAAATTCCTCCAGACCAGTCAGAATGAGGCCTCCACGTGCCTGTAGGACCTCCCTACAACGCCTGGGCATGCTCCTGATGAGGCAGAATGTTCTCCTGAGGGATCTCCTCCCAGACCTGGATTAAAGCATCATCAACTCCTGGACAGTCTGTGGTGCAACGAGACACGATGTCCCAGATGTGCTCAGTTGGATTCAGGTCTGGGGAACAGGCCGGCTAGTCCATAGCATCAAAGCCTTCATCATCAGGAACTGCTGACACACTTCAGCCACATGAGGCTGAGCGTTGTCATGCATCAGAAGGAACCCAGGGCCCACTGCACCAGCATGTGGTCTCTCAGTGGGTCTGAGGATCTCATCCTGATATAATGGTGATAATGGTAGTCAGGGTACCTCTGGATACACATGGAGGACTGTGTGGCCCTCCAAAGAAATGTCTCTCCACACCATTACTGACCCACCACCAAACCGGTCATACTGGAGGATGCTGCAGGCAGCAGAATGTTCTCCACGGCGTCTCCAGACTCTGTCACATCTGTCACATGTGCTGAGTGTGAACCTGCTCTCATCCGTGAAGAGCTCAGGACGCCAATGGCCAATCTGCCAATCTTGGTGTTCTCTGGCAAATGCCAGTCTCCCTGCACGGTGCTGGGCTGTAAGCACAAGCCCCACTTGTGGATGTCAGGCCCTCAGACCACCTCATGGAGTCTGTTTCTGACAGTCTGAGCAAAACATGCATATTAGTGGCCTGCTGGAGGTCATTCTGCAGCTCTGGCAGTGCTCCTCCTGGTCCTCCTGCACATAGGAGGAGGTAGCATCCTGCTGCCGGGTTGTTGCCCTCCTACAGCCCCCTTCACGTCTCCTGGTGTACTGGCCTGTCTCCTGGTATCTCCTCCAGGCTCTGGACACTGTGCTGAGAGACACAGCAAACCTTCTTGACACAGCTCTCCATCCTGGATGAGCTGCACTACCTGAGCAGCTGGTGTGGGTTGTAGACACGCCTCATGCTACTTCTAGGGCTGAGAGCACTGACCAAATTCAAAAGTGACCAAAACATAAGCCAGAAAGGATGAACAGAGACATGGTCTGTGGTCAACACCTGCAGAACCACTCCTTTATGGGGTTGTCCTGCTAACTGCCTCTCATCTCCACCTGGCGTCTGCTCCATCTGCACAACAGCAGGTGGAAGTGATTCACAGTCAGTGCTGCTTCCTACCTGGACAGGTTGATTTCACAGAAGTGTGACTGACTTGGAGTCACATGGTGTTGTTTAGGTGTTCCCTTTATTCTTTGTTTTCATTTGAAACAATACAGTTCTGCACTTTTTACTTTACCTCATCATATAGACACAGCTCCAAGCCATGGTTTCAAGTTCAAACTTTTTTTAACCCTAACCTTCCAATATGTCCTGCTGGCAGAGCAACTATAACATATACATTGGACGGTGATTCCCTTCTTCTCAGTGGAGAAGCAACACAGAGCGATGAGCAGACTGAGGATAAGCATCTTCAACCGTCACAGCTCAATAACTACCAGTCATATAGAAAGAAAATTCCACTGTGTGAAGCATAATCTTCTGAACACAATGATGTATTTTCACAGACATACTGTGTATTATGTAGGTTTGCTGGCAGGTTGGAGGCTCACAGTTTCTGATTTTCACATGAAATTCTGAGGTTCAGATATAAGAGGTTTGGTCGGCACACCCTGTGCTCTGAGGTGATCTAAGAAAAACACTGTGAAGCACTGAGACTCAAACTGGCTAAGAGGACAAAGATGCCAACGTTTTTATGTATAAATAGTTTACGTACAGGAAAAACTGTGAGGAGGAGACACTGCCCTTTAAAAAATATTCTGGTCAAAATTTAAGGTCAGTCTAACTGAAGGAAAATTCAGAATTTTTCAAAAGAGTTCATAAAACCTAAACTGTGACTGAGTAAAGACAGATATCAGACGAGTAACATCAAAGCCTTGTGACCCATTTAAACTGAATCAAGGTTCTGCTATAAATCATGCCAGAGCTACAGGGTTCCAAAAATGGCTGCGTTTGGCAGTTGCCCACCGACTTACTGTTCATTACAATAGAGATTTAACATCCATCATCTTTACACCTTAATCCTCACTAGGGTCGTGGGGGGCTGGAGTCTATCCCAGCTGACTCAGGGTGAAGGCAGGTTCACCTGGACAGGCAACCAATCTATCACAGGGCTACACTCACATTCACACCTACGGACAATTTAGAATCACCAATAAACCTCAACATGTTTCTGGACTGTGGGAGGAAGCCGGAGAACCCGGAGAGAACCCACGCTGCACAGGGAGAACATGGAGACTCCACGCAGAAAGATCCCGGGTGTCCTCACCAGGATGCGACCTTCGAGCTGTGACGGTGCTAACCACCGAGCCGCCTGCAGCCCGGAGATTTAACAGGTTTTCACAAATTTAGTAAAAAAAACATACCACGAATTGCTACTAAAAGTCAAAGCAGACCATTCCTGGTGGAGCTGCAAGTTTGCTGTATAACTTGTATGGGCTTTCTCACAGCTGCAGTACAAGTCAGGCAACAAAAAACGCTCTGGAAGAATGCAGAAGAATCAGCCCGAGGAATAGTAATGCGTGAGCTTCAGTGCTTATGCATTGGCACACTTACTTTGCAAAGAACTTACACAGTAAATAGCCATCTGCTTTAGTGTATGGGACCACTAGGTAAGACTACAAGCAGCCTGATGACTCTGTAGTCATGGAGAGAAACACCAGCCTGTTCACATCATTTAAGTAACAACTACTGGAGTCTTAATACAAACTGAAAAGACTGGTGTGATGATACCTGTCATGACTCCAATTTTTTGTTTCTGCTTCAGACCCGTTTGCCCCGCCCCTATCGGCGGGCGTGTCTCCTCAGTCAGTCTCCAGTCAGTCAGTCTCCCACTTCTACACACACTCAGTCCCTCCAGTCTCTAGTGTTAGTCATAAAACTACTCAGACCTGAGGCAACCCTTCTGCCCCAGCTCCCCTCAGATTGCTTCTTCAGGCTGTCATTAACATTCGGAAGGAATATTGCATTTAACTGTTTTTCACTGTGTCCTGTGTTCTCCTTTTGGGTCAACAAACGAAAATTCTTGAGCAAAATGTATCCATAAGACTGTCTGACAGCAACAGAAACTCCATACTGTTAATGGAGGTTATGCCATTATTTTGTAGTGACCACTGATTTAAACAAATTATCTATGAACCTGCTTCCTGTGGGGCTGCAAGGTGTCGCAGTTCGTAGCACTGTGGCCTCACAGCAAGTAGGCCGCTGGTTCGCGTCCCGGTGAGAACACCCGGGTTCTTTCTGCATGGAGTCTCCATGTTCTCCCCATGCAGCGTGGGTTCTCTCCGGCTTCCCCCCGTAGACCAGAAACATGTTGAGGTTAATTGGTCATTTTAAAACACAGTCCAAGTAACAGTTAACATGTTGATAGGAAGGAATTAAGAGCTTCAACAACAAACACTTTTGTTCATGACTTTATTCACATAAATGAACCGGGACACACAGTTGAATCAGAGTTATCGTGTCATGCAATCAAAGAAAAAAGGAATTTGCCAGAATAAAATAACTGGACCAAACCTGAACGCTTGCATTGGTAGGACCAGGCTGACAGGGTGCAGTTATATTTAACAATAAATTGTCCATGTAGTGCTTTAAAACACATTTATGTTGCATCTTAACATCCGACACCTTGACTTCAGGTACCTTAAAGGAACACATCTGGACATCTCTCTTGAGTATCTCACACTTCCCCCTTTGCTGTTGCCAATCCAAGCTCACTACAGTTGCCTTCCTCCTCAGAAATACAAGCTAAGCTACAGCCGCGACCAGCAGCGCTACCTTTCCAACATACGATGGGCAGCTTTCTTGGTACTCAGAGACAGGTTTTTATTCAACTGTTCCCTTAAGGGCTGCCGTCTTACAGCGGCAGCAGCCTATGGAGCCTGGGTGGTTCCCAGCCCCACGGCATTAGCATAAGCAGACAGCAAACTGACGACCTGCCTGGTTTCCAGTGTGAGTCTGGCTTCAGTGAGCCAGTCCTCCACCACTCTCCTGGCTTCTCCTCTCAACTGGTTGACCAGCTTAGCTGCTAACTCCAGATCCCCGTGCTCCAGACAGTAGCTAGCATATGACAGAAGCTTGAACGGGTCTAAATCTTCGCGGCTCAGCTGTGTGGGTGGGGCTTCCTGTTTATCCTCAAACAGGAGAGCTGCTTGAAGATAGGACAGGAAATACTGGTACAAGGAGTTATGAGATTCATCAATCAGAGCGACCCGGCGGGCCAGTGAGCGCAGGGAGTTGAAGCGGGCGCGAAGAGAAGCTTCGCTGTACACGCCGCGGTGCAGGGACTCTTCTGGAAGAGCTGATGCCAGAGCCATGGCAAAGTCATTGTCGTGGCAGCTGTCTCGCACAGCCTCAGCAGCACTCTTCAGAGGTACGGTGGGCACATCAGCATCGGCGGTCTTCAGAGTGTAGTTGAGGGCTTCCACAGAGAGCCACAGCTGGTGGGCTCTACGGGCCTCCTCCTCTGCCACCACATGGCCTGCATTCAAACGACAGGGCAGAGGGAACATGACTGGGTGTAGCAGAGCACCACACATCAACCATGTGCATTTTCACAGCTCCTCTTCTGCCTTGAGTTCAGACTGTCTATATGTACAACAGATGTATATATAGTATATATTACAATAGTTATTCTTTAGTGGTAGGTTTCACCTCTTTGCTTTCAAAAGTTCGACAAATATCACACTGAGGTGTTTGCTGTGTTGGTGTTGGCTGTATGGTTGGTTGGGTTGGTTTCATTGGTAAGTTCAGAGAATCTTGGGGCAAACTTCTACATTCATTACGCCTGAAGGCAACAAATCCTTCCTGTTGTGTTTATCAGAATGTGTGTCCACATGCATATCTTACTGTCTATAGCCTCCTCCATCCCCTTCAGTCTTGCATAGGCAGTGTTCATGTCCAGAGTGAAGTTATCCAGCTGCTCCTGGTTCAGCTGACGGTACCGGGTCTCCTGCTCCAGCATCTTACTACTCAGGACCTGATCACAACCAACAGCAGAGCGTAAAGCAATCCTGTAGCTAGACATGTACCACACAAGCAGCTACAGTGATGAGGTATAGAATAGAAATACTTTATTTATCCAAGACCTGGGAAATTATTGAGGTACTGCAGGCCCCACCTGACAGGATCTGCTCAGCTGTATAGGAGTGTGCAATATAGTAATAACTGAACATTCATCAGCTTCCTGTATATAGTCCTGTGTGAGCTTATCTGACCTCCTCCTGATTGCTTCTGTTTCCATTTCTCTCACATTAACTGTGTTAGATCTTCAGTGAAACTCTAACATAAAACACAGGTAACCTACATAAACACAAACAACAAGTTCTACATGATCAGCGTATTTACTTATCTAATAACTCACCAATGTGATCAAGTAATTGCCATCTGAACATAGCGTGATGTCCGGACTGCAAGCCACTACTTTCTTCACACACTTTGAACATTGTGGCTTAAAGAGTGATGCGGCTAATTTATGGATTTTTACGAATTTGCCTCGAGACCAAAGTGACATTGAGAGCGACAGCGACAGAGAGACAGAGGAAGTGTGTGACGAAATGATTCTGAGGCTGTTCAACTCCAACACTGAAGAAGACGACTTTAGTGGTTTTAGTGCACAGGAGGAAGATGAAGACAGCGATCAATGACTTTTCCTGGTAGGCTGCTGTATGTTCTATTTTCTTAACCAGCCGTGTTGCAGGCACTGTTCAGAAAAAAGCATCTACGGTATTTATGTATGTTATTTATTTACCAGTCACAGTGCAGCTTGGCAGTCTTTTAAAATAAATAAGAAATGTGGTGAATTCTTTTCCCCACAGGTCCAGTAGTTGTTAAATAACAGTTATTTCACACTTGTTTTTTGTCGTTCCTCAGACTGCCTTTGTTTTATGTTGTTTTTCTGCCCTACATGTTGTAATTTCTGACACTTCAGGATGTGTGTGTACAGTGTGGGACTGTATAAAGTATAAGTATATATAATAAAGTATAAAGACCTGGTCAGCCTCAGCTCTCAGCTCCTGCTCCTGGACTTTGAGGACATCCTGGACATGGTCTGTGTGAGCAGCTGCCTGCCGCCGGAGCTGAGTTCTCATCTCCGCCTCCATCACTTCACGTAGCTCAGCCAGCTACACACACACACACACGTTCAGACACAATGATACTAACTGATAGCACTTTTCCACCCTCCTTTCCCCAGCAGCACATGTACAGTTGTCCCTATAGAACCTGTGCTTATAGAGTATAGCTTAGCATAGCAGCATTACATCATTACATCTTGGTGATTCAGCATCCAGATGTCTTAAAGCACCTTCTACCCTCGTACCTTCCTCTCCTGCTCCAGCCGAGCATCCTCTTTGACATGCTGCAGGCTGGTGTTGACAGCTTTCTCCAGAGCTTTCTGGTCTTCCAGCTTCTGCTGCTCCAGCGCTGCATCGATGTGGATCTGCTCTCGGACCCTCTGCTCAGCCAGCTCTCGGTTCAGCTGGTCGATGCGACGGTGTGCGTGGGCAATCAGGGCGTTCAGGTCGTCTGCCGACAGTTTACCAGCTGACACACACACACACACCTGAAGTTATTCATGCTCCTCTAGATCAGGGATAGATCAGGGTTTGTCCTACTTGATCCCTACGCTACCATAGAGGACACCTTATATACTAATAGTGATTATTTAATATAATATACTCTAATATAAAAGACACTAACAGTCTGGGAGGCAGGATCATATGGGATTATGTGTGCAAATCTGAATTAGCTAAATGATTTATTTGACAGCTCATAGTGAAGATAAGAGAGAAAACAAGTGTAACAACAGAAGAAGTCCCTTCAACCCTTGGCCACCAGAGCAAACTATGTGTAGTTTAGAAAAATATAAGTTCCCTTAGAAGGATTGCTTCATGTGTTAACATGTGTAACATCAACACGTATGGTACATGCCTGCACCTCCCATCTGAGGGTTATATAGACATGATAACTAAAAACACTGGAATTCTGCTCTTCCTGACGACACATGGTTTCATCTAAATTCTAAATGTCAACACAACTTCCAGGCAGGCTGACAGTGCAGGGTTGGGGTTAGCTGTACTGTTTACCTGCAGCTCTATGTTGGACTGTTGATTGATATCAAATCACTCCTAACCGACAGCTGTAACAGTAACATGAGTGATGTGTTATAGATGTGTGTTCTTACTGAGGCCCTTCCAGTTGGCCTGGATCTCTGGAGTGAGGCTGCTGACTTCCCTCTGAAACTGTTGTTTGGCTTCATTAACCAGTTCACTGTACTGGGACACGATTTTAGCTTCTGACTCTGCAGACTGCACCTACAAGGACATATGGCACAGCTGTTACCACACAACAAGACACAGAACACCAACAGAATAAAAAGACAAGCTGTAAAGTCCACTTGAGAGTAGAAACTGTGGTGAGAAGGTCACAGGGACTATGGCTGCTGGAGCTGAACTCACTCTTTGGATAAACTGAAGCCAGTTTCCTCACCAGCTCTTACTGTTTAACTGTTTGTGTCTTATCTCTCTCTCACACAAACACACATACACACACTCTCACACACTTGTAAGGCGTTGAACGGATTGCCAGAACTTCCTGGAGGCCAACCGAAAGTCCTTCTCCATAGCCTCCCTGAACTCCTCCCATACCAGTGTTTTTCAGTCTCCACGTCAGCTGCAGCTCTTCTGGCCAGCACGTACCCGTCTGCTGCATCAGGAGACTCCCAAGCCATCGGCTTGGTTCAATGAGCAGCTCCATCTGACCTTAAAGACCTTATTGTACCGTATCACCCTAACAGAGCCCTTCGCTCTTAGACTGCAGGTCTACTGGTGGTTCCAGAGTCTCCAGAAGCAGAATGGGAGGCAGAGCCTTCAGTTATCAGCTCCCAGTCTGGGTTCTGGAGGCAGACACCCTCTCTGCTTTAAGGTTAGGATTAAAACGTTCCTCTTTGATAGAGCTGATAGTTAGGGCTGCTCAGGATCACCTGAACTGTCCCTTAGTTATGCTGCTATAGCTTTAGACTACCGGGGGATTCCCATGATGCACTGAGCTCCTCTCTTCTCCTGTCTTTTACTCTCCATGTATCTAGACGACACAGTTACATGTCATCACCTTTGTGTCTTCTCTCTCTCACAGGTTGTGTTTTGTCCTTTTGGCAGATATTTCTACACATTTCTGACCAGCGATCACCGGCTCCGTTAAACACCCTGCTTATTGTTGTCTGACAGTTCCTTCTGCTCCCGCAGTCACCAGGTGCTGCTCAAAGGGATTCTTTAGGTTCATTGCCACAATATAAGATTGTAAAATGTTGACCTGAGGTTACTTGTGTTGTGAATGGGAACTATATAAATAAAATGAAAGTGATGTCTAGCCAGGTATGTCCTGTACATGGATCGGTCTGTGACTGATTCTGAGTCAGTGTTTCATTCTCTTTTGCTGCTGTAGTGGATATTTTGAGGAAGATCTTGTTATTTCCCATTTTTTATTCTGGAAGATCACACAAAGCAATGGGATTTGCAGGTCAAGACTATGCTGTGAGAGGTTTTCAGAAGTTATCAGTACCTTTGGTCCTTAAAATGACGGTGATGTGTAGTTACAGCAGCAGGTAATGACATGAGATTATGAATATGTAATATTCGACAACTACATCAAATATGGGAATATTTTTTCATGTTCAGAAGCCACAGATGAAACAGTTCATTAGGAACAGGATCATTATCAGGCTTCTGCAGAGCTTGATGATGAGCTGATCATTTGAATCAGGTGTGTTGGAAGAGGGAAACATCTAAAACATGCAGGACTGTGGCCCTTGAGGACCAGGATTGGACGCCCCTGGTCTACATGCTCCTGATAAAAGATTTCTGTGATGTAAAAACTTAGACCAAGATAAATCATTTCAGAACTTTTTCTGTCTTTAATGTGACCTCTCACCGGTAGCCGCCGTCGTAAGCATCGGCACTTGTTGTGGAATATTCTCCTGCTACGTACCCTCGACAACAACGTATCAGCCCAATTAGCAATGTACTTGTTTCAGGCAGCAGTGTAGCAGGCCAGTACTCTGCTATGACGCTGGACAGAACCCTGAAGCTATCTAGCTCTTTGTATATGTGCTACAGCTCGTCATACCTGCTCAATTTCAATAGAAATAACTTGCTTGGTGACCAAGTTTTACAAGTTAAACAGTATTCTATTTGACTCAGGTGGACATGAGCAGCAGCGACTCCACACTGTACTGCTCTATACTAACTGCTATCCTGCTGCTGTGCCTCACAAGTTTAAACTGACCAGCCACAAGATTAAAACCACTGACTGACTGTTTAAGTGCTCAACAATGATCATCTTGGCAAACTGCTCATGAATGGCTCAATGAACACAACAAACAGCACAACAGCAGACATTTTGAGACAGACAGCTGAGAAGGGACTTTGTGGGATATACAGGAGTCATAGTGAGAAGGATGTGGTACAGGTCAGGGGTATGAAGGATGAGGATAGAAAGCTACAAACAAGGGAGGAGAGTGTGTTGAGAAGACCATGGGCGTACTCTGATGAATGAATAAAAAGAAAAGTCTGGATGGTGAGGAAACTGAATCAGGAAGTGTAATGGACTACTGAGGATGAAGTGAGGACAGCTACAAGGAGGATGAACTGTGAAACAGTGATGAATGGAAACCTGTGGTGGCATGGACAGGTCGAGGAAGGATGACAGGGAAGGTCCTCATTAGACCATCTTGGGAAGGGAGGGGATGCCCAGGGAGTGGTGAAGAAGTGCAATGGTATGGAGTTTCAGGAATACGGGGGATGTGCAGAGTATTAGTAGCTACAGAGGTATATCAGCTATAGCATGAAGCTATGGCAAAGAGAAGCAACAGCTGGGCTTAGAGGAGAGCTGATAATTAGCCAGCAGCATGTCAGGGAAAATAGTACAGAGACAACGTTTGCTTTGAAAGGGGTGATAGAGAGGCTCAGAAAGAGCTGCATCATGTCTTTGTGGAGAAAGCAAACAACAGAATAGCACGAGGAGGAGGTGTGACAGAGAGGTCAGAGTGGTGCCAGACATGTACGAGGGCAGCAGTGAGGGTGAGGATTAGACGGCTTCAAGGTGGAGGAGGGACGACACCAGGGCTCAGCTTAAAGCACTTCCTCTTTAGCAAAGGTGGTGGACAGGCTGACGATTAGCAAGATCATAGTGGACTATGATGTTCACAGGTGACACCAGTTTATAGAGCAGGGAGCAAGTTGAGGAGGCCATAGGGAGGAGCATGATGCTCTGGAGAGATAAGGAAGTCAGGAGGAACCAGATGGAATACATGTGAATGTGAGGGAGGACAGGGTAATAGTGAGGAAGCAAAATGGTAGAGGGGCAGTGGTGGACAGCTGGGGGCAGGAGAGAGGAGAAAAAAACAGGGCATGGAGGGTGTGAGGACAGATGTCAGGAATGATATGTGACAGCAGGGTATCAGCACGTAGTCGTGTTTCTATCAGGCGTGCAACATTGGAAACGGCGCTGCCTCACTGTAAAAACAGCCCTGTGGACACTATATGTACTGTATGGGGTAGAGATGGCACCACTGAGGCAGAGCAGAGGGCAGCTGAGTTCAAACTACCAGGAGTGACCAGGATGGACAGAAACACGAAAGAGCACATCAGAGAGAAGGGCAGAGTTGGATGGTTTGGGGACAAAGGAAGAGAGTTTATGGAGGTTTAAAGATATGGTGAAGATGACACGCAGCAGTGGGCATGACTGAGGAGGAGCCAGAGGACAGGAGGAGGTAGAAATGGGTGATGTGCTGTGGTGACCCTCACACAGTTTTTCTCAAATACTGGGCCAGGGGGGTGCGGTGCGATGCCAGGGGGCGTCTGACCCCGGCGCAGTGTTAATTTTGTCAACGACAACTTAAAACGAAAACTTTTCATTGACGACCATGTGACCACAATGTAAATTTAGTTGTACTGACAACAAAAATTAAAACGAAATCTCTGTTCATTATCAATTGGTGAGTAAAGACATGACGAAACAGATGACGCTGACCTGCCGGACAATCTGGATTACAACCATCCTCTATACAGGCAGTGTTTCTCAAAGTGTGTTGTCCTCTAAAGGGGGGTCTAACAGAAAAAAATTACCATCGCCCTAACAGGAGCAGCCATATGGAAACACACTATATGTTACTGGATGGACTGCCATTTAGCCCCTTAAGGATGAACCGTAGTCATTTTGGTAATTCTCTGACTTCTCACCAAGCATCCCCATTCGGGCAAAGCTTCAGTTGGTTTATGGTCAAATACATGTAAGAGTGTTGCTCAGCAGCTTCAGCTGGACTCAGTGTTTAGTAATAATTAAACACTGAAATAATCTGGTGAACATGCTGAACAGTTAGACATGTTGGTATAGTCAACATGCATGTTGTAGCTTCTGCATCCAGCTCACAGCACTCCTGTGTGTCTATCAGTTGTAACAACAGCGATAGAGGCTTGATCTTAATATTACAATCTCAGTATTTAACTGGAGAACAATGCAGCTTTCTAAGGTCTCTACTGATGGCCTGCCACCTGCAAATCATTGGTGAAGTGTTTTATTCATAAACCTATGAAAATGAATAATGTAGTTTTTACATCTCAGTGCTTTAGAAATTTAAAAAACAAGATATCAGATGTTAGTCAGTGTGCTGTAGACATGCTAATGGCAGCTTCCCACTGTCTTTATACTAAGCTAGGTTACATGGCTGCTGCTGTCCAACCACAGTGCAGAGAGCTAAATTCTCTAGCTTAACATAATGCTATCTGGTTGTACATTATGTACTAAACATTGTCCGTACCTTAGTGACCACTTTGTCCAGGTCTACTATCATGTTGTGGAGATTCTCCTCCGCTGCCAACACCAGCGGGTGGACAGCAGCAATCTTCAGTCCTTTGGAGTCATCAATCACTGATCTGAGAGCGCCCAGGGCTTCACTTCAAGGATCATCACATGGAGAGTTGGGGAGCAGAAGAAGTCATTTAGAAAATAATGAACAACATGTGAAAGGTTAAACCACAGCACAACTCATGCTGCATGTGTCTGTGAGGCCTAAGAGTGGCTACATGGATGTGGATAGAGCTACTACACAGTCTATGTATAAGGTACAGACAGGACGTTTGACTAGTCAGCAAGTCAAATATGACAAGGTAATTAATCACAAGAAAAACATAAAAGTCACTGCTGCTTATTGACTTCAATATTGCCACAATGAATGAATAATGCCAGAGATCCCATGTGATGTATGCGGCAGACAGAATACGGCAGGCCATGGCATCTGTCCAGTCCTCTAAACATTCATGTGGTTATTGCATCTTTTAAATTAATCTTGTGCCTCTACTTTAGATCTCTAACCATTTTATAGAGGAACTGTACTGCCTTCCTCAAATAAACAACACTTCCTCTCACAGCAGAAGAATGTTCTAAACCATTTTTAAGGAATGAAACCTTGTTCCATCACACTACAGAGGCTTTAATTAGATCATCATCTGTTCACTAGGAAGCACACCGATAAGACCATGAGACATGTCAGGATCTGTCTGATTCAGCAACACAACAAAGGCTTTACACACTGTGCACGTGTGTGTGTGTGTGCATTACTTGGCTTTCAGCAGAGCAGTGCCGGCATCGTTCACAGAGCAGGTTCGATCGGCCAGAGCAGCTTCTAGGTCCTTCCACTGGGCTGACTTCTCCTGAGGAGGAACCTTAGTTTAAAAAGAGACTGAAATCACTATCCTGAAGAAAAACAACCACCCATTAATGGTGTCACGGCACATGTAGGACCTGCACAGAGCACTGGGCCGAGTGGTAAAGTTCATTTAGTGTATTAGTCACTTAGACAGAAATCCAACTGAAAGAAAATTGGTTTGTTCATTAGGACCTCGTGTTTCTGCTCTGCCTCGGCCCAATGCCTCCAGACAGGCTCGTGTTAGATAAGACCACACCCTCTTCACATCTGCCAACCAATCACAGTGACACATAACCACCTGTTACTGTGTTAAAAGCCAACTGACAGTGTTCTGAAGCTACCGCTGGGTAGTTTTAACTTTATCTTTATAAGGGGTCCTTCAGATTCAATTCTACCAACAAATACCCCAAAAGCCTCATATTTGCCTTGTTTCTGCCATCAGAGTGCATTTTCACAGTAACTGTGTTATCAGCTGCAGTAATAGGATTCAGAACACCGATTCATATTAAATGCATAATTATCATTAGTCAGAAAAACAAATGCTTTGGTGTCCATGGCTGGATTTCATTTGAGGAGCTCTTTAAAATCCCTTTAGTGGTAAGATTGTTTTATAATCTACATCTTTGCCATAAAGGCATAAAGGCAATCCTGTATGTGTAGATGTGGTGAGTATGTTCTGTACCTCTGCCTCCATAGCCTCCTTCAGCTTGTGTGTGTGCTGTGTGATGGCCTGCAGTGCTGCCTCCTGAGCTCCAATGGCCTGCAGTGTAGCTTTAGCTGAGCTTGCCAGTGACTCTTCAAGACTGGCTGATACAGCTGCAAAGCAAACAGACAAACAGTCACTTCACAATACATACACAGCATGAGTTATAGGTGAAACCACAAGTTTACATCCACTGTATAAAAGGACATTTTCTTCTCACTATCTGACATTAAACAGTGTTCTGCCCTGAACTGGTTCAAATCGACATGGAGTTAATTGTTCAAATGTGTTTTAAATCATTCTATGCAGAAATATTTCAGACTGTGCTTATATTTTGATGCTGCCAAATAGTGGAAACAGGAAATGGTAAGCAAGAAACAGGAAGTAGCTCGGTAAGCTGTGGAGAAGTCATGATGGCATCGGTGTTTTCTGCTGAGAGTCATTATCCACAGTGAAACCAGTCCTGTATCAGCATGGGCTGAAAGGCTGCTCAGAGAGGAAGAAGACATTACTTCAGAAGAAACAGAAAAAAGACAGATTACAGTTTGTAAACGCACACAGGGACAAAGACCTTAATTAGTGGAGACATGTGCTGTGGTCTGATGGAACTAAACCTGAACTGTTTGGCCTTAATGACCATTGTTACATTTGGAGGAAAAAGGGTTGAAGGCTGAGAACACCATCCCAGCTATGAAGCACGGGGGTGGCAGCATCATGATGTGGGGGTGTTCTGCTACAGGAGGGACTGGTGCACTTCACAGAATAGATGGCATCATGAGGAAAGAACATTATGTGGAAATATTGAAGCAACATCTCAAGACATCAGCAGGAAGTTAAAGCTTGGGCACTAATGGGTCTTCAGATGACAATGACCCTCAGCATAATGCCAGATTAGTTACAGAGAGGCTTCAGGACAACAAAGTCAGTGTTGTGGAGTGGCCATCACAAAGCCCTGATCTCCATCCTGGAGAACATTTGTAAGCAGAGCTGAAAAGGCATGTGGAGCAAGGAGGCCAACAAACCTGACTCAGTTCCACCAGTTCTGTCAGGAGGAATGAGCCGGAACTCATCAGACTACTGTAAGAAGCTTGTGGAAGGAAACCCAGAACATTTGACCCAAGTCATACAGTTTAAAGGCAATGCTACCAGATACTAAGGAGATGGATGGAAACTTCTGACTTTGAAGAAGTAATAAAACATTATCTGTCTCATTATTCTGGTGTTTAGCAAACAGAAATAATGTTGGTAATCTTAACTGACCTGGAACAGGAAAAGTTTAGTCTGATTTAATGTCAGACAGTGAGAAAGAAAAGGTTTTATGTCTTTTTATACAGTGTAGGCAAACTTCTGGTTTCAACTGTATATATACACACGCACAGAAAAATGTTTTCATCATCTCTGCTGAAGTTAGATATATATATATATTACTGAACATTTACAGAACTTGCTGTATATAGAAAATGATTCCTCTACTTCTGTCCAGCTTACGGTAGGACACAGTAGCACAACAACACAAATCAATACCTTGCTCTCAAATGGCACAATGACAGATGATAAACTGGTCACATATGAGCATTTATTCAGGTGGTGAACATGGAGCTGCTGTATTATTTGGTGGTTGTCACATGCTTACATGCTAGAATGTCCTGTTCCTCCTGGTCTTGCTGAGCCAGTCTAGCTGCCACTTCTTCTACAGGACGCTCCTTCAGTGGTTCTGCTGCCGAAGGTGACTCTGCGTTGGGATGAACTGCTGCTGGGGTATCCTTATGGTCATGGCACTCTTTACACTCCTCTACAGCAACATGCACACAGACAACATGCAGCCATATTTTCAAAACAGACCTTATATCAATACAGCAATGGGTTAGGGTTACAAAGATACAGCACGATTCTTCATGACTGTCTGTACTGGGGACAGTCAGTTCAGTTCTGTTTGTATAGCGCCTGTTCATAACATCAGTCATTAAGATTCATGGAGTAAGGTCAAGACCTTAAAATATTATAGAAACTATATTATTGCATATAAAATAAGATGATAAGAAGTATCTCGTGTACACCTGCATCACTGTGGTGGTCTGAACGTCACTGAGAGGAAATAATCATGGAGAAGTGGCCTACGTCGGAGTGACAGGATGCATCACCATGTGTCCCATGTCTAAAAAGGGCTTTAGCGTTAGCCTTGTGATGGAGTGGTGACCTGGGTTTAGCCAAACTCCAGGATGAAGCATGTAGAGGTAATGCATGGATGGATCATGAATGTGATGATGTCAGTCAACTCATTCAAATGTTAAACATCACATTTATACATATTGTACCTCAGAAAACGTTTAGCGTGTGAGCCCTTGTGTATTCAGCAGGGTTGAATACCTCTGATTGTAAACAGCAGATTAGATAACAAAGCTGATCATTTGATTACCAGCTAACACTGATGTCAGTGTTTACAGGATGAATCACTGCTGAGAGATGAAGACACTGTCCAGTGGTAGAGAGGAGGTTAATGTACCTTTGACTGCTGCAGCCTCTGTGTCGCATGGAGCAGGGACTGATGGGACCTCACTGATGGCTGAGATGATATGAGTGGCCTCTGCTGAAGCCTCTGGATGGGAAACAAACACAGAAGGCAGGAAGATGGTGTGAGTATATGTGACAACACTCACATGCACAGAGCTTTCAGAAGCCCTGACTCAAATGTTATCATTATAGACACTGAATATCTGACACCACAGGAACATGATTCAGCTTTGAGCTCTCCAGAACAACTACAACTTGTGGGGATTCCCGAGTTCCATTTAAACAGAAAACTAAAACACACCAACTATAAAACCAAGCAAGGCTGAAGAAGAACGAATAAAGACAGTTTATTGTTGTGGAACAGAGCAGCCCCACACATAAACTCTAGTATAGATCACTGATTCACTTTACTGATCTAGTCATAACTTATTCAGTACTGTGTTCATGGCATAACTACATTTACTGTGTCATGCTTTAAAAGCTGCAGAAGACAGCGTGTATGCTACAGTCCACGTTCTAACGCTACGTCTAACCATCACTGACTAATGTTCATTCACAGTTAATCTGCTGAGTATGCGCTTGTTAATAGTGGGGAATACAGATGTTTATAAGACAGTTATAAGACATTATAAGTTAAATCAGACATCAAGCAGCCAATAAACAAAATGTACATATGGATTGATGAGAACCTAAACAAATCTATGTTCAGCTCTAGTTGCTCTCTAATGCCACTGGTTTCCTCTATGGTTGTAGTTCTACAGTCTAGGCTAGGCACCAGTAACACAGCACTACAGACAGGCTAACGTACAACATGAAGGCAGCTTACCCTGAGACATTTCTGTGGGCACAGAAAAACAACAAAGTGCACAGTTACCAACACTTGGTGTAGCACAATACAAAAAACTAAAGAAAAGTCCCAGTGCATATGATAGAGTCCTGATCAGATCAGACTTACCCTCTATGCTCTGTGCAGGCTGTGTCACGACGGGACTGGGCTCCTTGGCTGGACTCCCTGCTGAGTCCTTCACTTTCTTCTCTGACTTGGCTTTGGGTGCCTTCACTTGTTTCTCCATCATCGAGGGTGGCTGAGCTAACTCCACCTAACCAGCAACCATTTTAACAAAGGAGCGAGCGAGAACAGCATTATACTGCCGTTCCACCAGGACACGTCAAAATCAGTTCTGCTAAAGTCACAGCAACATACCAACAACAGATACGAGTTAGACGTTATCTCTATTTAAAACCCAGTGCAGTTTGGACACACTATAAATCCTGCTTTAACAATGTCTGAATGACTCCAGTCAGCGGGTTCCACGTAAAGCACAGAGTTCAGCAAAGAACTATGGGATTTCAAACATTGTTACAATCAATTACAATGTGCCCAGATCAGGCCCCAATAATGATGAGACAGCCCAATACTTGTTTTTTCCATTACAACCTTACATACTGACCTGGTTTTTGACAGGGAGGCCCACATCCTGAGGTGCAGGTCCCAAAGCCAGACCCAACAGCCGGTCTGAGTACGGCACATTCTTCTCAACAGCTGCTCTGAACTTGTGGTCCCATTTAGCATAGAGTATCGTACCTCCAACGCCACCACTTACTGTCAACAAGCCAGTAGCGATCACTTTGGAGGCACCACTGTGACGAAAGAGGACAGAACAGGCATGAATCTGTCATGCAGCATGTGGCAGCGTCTTGGTATCATGGGGATGGCTACGTGGTAGATGGTCTGCACTGTGCTGGTGTGTTACCTGCTGCTCTCTCCTGCGGTGTAGTGCCGGCAGTGTTGCAGACTGGTTCCAGGGCTTCTCCTGCAGTGGTTCTGGAGAGGCAGGGTTAGGGTTAGCAGCAGGACAGAAAGGCAGCGAGTGAGGAAGAGACAATGATGATGCTAAACACACCGCTACTGTATGAAATGTTACTTCTTCATCTTCAACACCTTTACATAAAATTAACTGAAATTGATACTGCTGTTGATTTATTTATTAACCCTAACAAACAATATCATCCTGTGACAGACTGATTACCTGTCCAAGTGAACCTGCCTTCACCCTGAGTCAGCTGGGATAGGCTCCAGCCCCCCACGACTCTAGTGAGGATTAAGGTGTAGAGATAATGGATGGATGGATGGATGGATGGAGTACCACTGGGCTGGTACTTTGTGGTACATTGCCTTACGGTAACACTGTCCAACTACAGCAGTAAAGTGTTCAAGTTTGTCATGAAAAACAACATGAATTATAGATTATATTTTTACTTTTGACTAAATCTAAAAAACAAAACCACACACAGTCTTGCTTTTAAAGCCGTTTACACTCCAGGTTTAAAGTAGTTTCATTGTAAGTTTTCCTGTAGTCCCTCCTCATCTGAAATAGAAACATGAACAAAGAGCCAAAAAGTTTAATTGCTTTTCTTCATCTACTTCTACGAGGCTGTACTGTCCACTTCCCTCAGAAATGCATGAAAAACATCTACAACTGAGATGTAAGAACATGAATACCGGCCTCCTCTCCCTCATGCTCATCCCTGAGCTCTAACCCATCCCCGGGGTTCTCATCTTAACCTTGACATGATCTAAACTATAATACGAATAGGTGTATGGTTCCAGAAACACAAGAGCTTTGGGTTTGTCAATTTGTCCACACATACACAGATAATGAGGTACCAGTAAGCCAGGAACCACTGACTCCACTGGTTTATAGTGACCATCAGTGCTCACAACTCACTAAACTTATTAAAACGTAATTGAAAGAAGACTTTTGTCTTTTACAACATGATGACTTTCCACCTATTCTCTGTTTCAAACACTGATGATAGACAGTAAGCAGCAGTTTGACATCTCTGTCAGGTGACTCAAGGTCTTTGACCTCATCCAGGTACCTAGATGCTTAAAACTATGCCTCATCTTCTACTGAACAGACCAGCAGTGTTTGAAGAAGGGTGCAGTGAAAGGGTTCAGGACTAACTACACATCACACTAGACCTGGAGACAGATGAAAGACTTCATTAAGCTGTGAAATCTGTCTGGTGCCCAGACTCCTGTCATAATGTCCCATCCTGTTAGTGTGGTTCAGCTGCATGCTTGAGACGAGTGGACACACCAGTAGAGCTTGAAGCTCATCTCATTGTCTGGCTTATTATGGACGTGTTCTCCAGGGATCTATCACCGCATCACACCACACACTGAGTCTATGAAGCATACAAAGCAGAATCATGCATGACTAAACCAATATGATGTCAAAGTTTTAGATCATCACCACACTTTACATTTATTTGTCTCAATAACACTTAAACTGCAACAAATGTGAGCCTGTAGTTTAGCTGTTCATTTAGCTCCAGTTCATAAACGTATGGCATGTAAATAGTGAGCATGTCGAACCATTGGTGTTCAGTCTGGTTCCCAGACTACGCCTCCTCAGCCTCTAATGATCATTTAATACAGAAGCTAAGGTTCCACATATGAAAACTGAGCGGTAGCCACCACAACGCTTTTCAGCAGAGTCATCACCAGTTGATGTGATCTGGATTTTAAGATTGCATCTGACAGGTGTCAGAGTGGTCAGTGGTCAGCACCGTCCCCTCACAGCGACAGCATTGGGCCTGAAGCTGCTGGCTAGGCCTCAGTGTTTACAGTTTCTCCTTGTGGGCTTCCTCCCACAGTCCCAGCACACACGAATGGGTCTGAACTGGCCTGAGGCTGTGTGTGTGTGTTTGTGTTGGCCCTGCAGTGGAACGGCAGGCCGTCCAGGTGGTAACCGTCCAGGTTGGACACGCTGAAGCCCCACACTGCCCTCTACAGCAGAAAGCGGGTAGAACTGATGACAGATAGCTGGACACTGGATTTGACACCCACTGTGGCAGTTGAATGATGGCATCAGAGCATCAGTCACAGCTGTTAGGAGAAGTCACATGGGACTCTGCAGCCACTCAATGCATGTTTTAAATGTAAACAAAAAGTTTCTTTATTTCCTTTTTTGGATTAATGGAATACTGAATAATTCTTATATTTCTTGAAAACATTTTGACACGATTGGAACAACTTTAACTGTACAAATGAAAGGAAAGTTGAAAAATACTAAAGTAACCGAGCTCATAAGAAATGGTTTGTAGTGAAATACAGTTTGACTGACTTGTAAATACAAGTGTGGCACTGTGTGGTTATGCTTGATAACACCCACAGGGAACACATGCAGAAATTAATATTTGACCAGAAAGAAGGCACCAGCAGTACAAAATGCTCAGCAGACAGCTGACCAGCATCCGGTCATCACCTGGACCTGGACTGTCACTGAAAGGCAGAACTCTGCCTTCCACCTGTCTCCAGCCTGCCCTCCTGAGAGGAGCAGCACTGTGAGCTGGGTTTAATTGGGTTCTGCTGGACCACTGCATCCATCCATCATCTCTACACCTTAATCCTCACTAGGGTCGCGGGGGGCTGGGGTCTATCCCAGCTGATCAGGATGAAGGCAGGTTCACCTGGGCAGGTAACCAGTCTATCCACTGAGTCCCAGCTTTCTAGAAACAGAACTAAACACTGGGCTGATGTTGCTTCACGTGTTTTAAATCGACCACACTGTCAATACCGAACTGAAGCTTGACTTTTAAAACATATATAACCTGCCACTAGTCGTTTGGCCAGACGCTGAGCTGCATCAGCCGGCCGGTGCCCCGAGGTGGAGCCGGCCGTCCGGTTCGGTGGCCTCCGCTCAGCCCTCACTGCTCGTCTTTACATTCAGTTCTTTAAACACGTGTATTGTGATTCTTTTAAATCGTGACACACTGAGAAATGACCGACAGTGTACCGAGCAGGTCTGGAGGCTACGGCCGGGTTAGGGTTAGCTAAGCCGGGCTAGCTTTATAGCGCTGCGGTCACAGAGCACCGGGCTAAAGCTAGCAGCACTTTTAAATATTAACCATGAAAAACACAATAATGTGGGAGAAAGATAAATAGAATCTAGAGACGACTGACTGCTGCTATGTTTTTTTTATTTATATTCTACATATTTGCGGAACCGTAGAGCCGTCTGTCATGACCTCTCTGCCGCTAGCCGCTTTAGCCCCGTTAGCTCGCCGAGCATCTGTCAACGGAAGCTAACCAGCTAGCACGGGCTAGCACGGGCACGCGCGGGCAAGCGCCGTCCCCAGTTTTACTTCTGTGAGGACAACTTTCCCAAAGTCGTGATAAATGTCATATACAGCGTTCGGTACCGTCTTGGGGCTCACAGCCACACCGGTGCACAACAACGCCACGGACACCTTGAGCCCGGCTGTGGGTCACTGAGCGCCAACATGGTGGCCGGCGGTAGGGAGGGAGGAGTGTGGAGGTCTTACCCGGGCCGTGGCGTTGGCCCCTCTCAGACAAGCCCTCAGCATGGCCTCGGTGCTCCGGTGTCACGCCTGGTCAGGTTCGGCTGCACAGTAACGGTGGTTTGTGTTCTCTGTAGTCCTCCGTCCTCGCCAGTTCCTCCTCTTCCTGTCTTTACGTTGCTTGAGCGTGTACGTGCACGACACTGCCTCCTCCAGGACACGGTCCGGTCCGGTCGCTCACCGCGAGGAGGCTCGGTTCACGGTCCCGGCCGGGAAAATACCGACACCGGCAATATGTCAATATAGATAAAACGGTGCCGCTGGTTTCATGGTTCTCAACAGGTACGATGTCCGGGTTCCTGTTTCCAGCCTTACCTGGGCTCCGTGTGAATGTGTGTGTGTGTGTGTGTGTGTGTGTATATATACATATATTAAAAAGTCAGGAAGCATAAGTGATGGTGAATCCCCTCCTCAGTGGGTACGTCATTGTGTTTTCCACTCATATACACTTCACGAAAACAAAACTATGTAAGAATGAAGTGTTCCCTTAAATTTATATATATAATATTTTATATTTATATATACTTTCCCCCATCAGTCAGATAATAAAGGTACATTTAAGTGTGTTTTTATTTATTTATTTGAAAGTCTTCACCATGAAAGAAACAGCAAGAAAAAATGTGGCTACAACTGTGTTAAAATAAAAACCAACCACAGCCAAATATAACTGAACTGAAAGTACTAAGTTTAAACTCTTCCACACTTCAACATTACACACTTAGAAGAAAACAAGCCTTGTCAATGAGCCTCTAGTTTCTACTTTTACCCATGAAGAGGACCATTTGAGTTCAGTGTCTACGGACTTGATTCCACTTGGCTAATGCACACAGGATGCAGCATCACATTAGCATCCTGTGGACATCAGCAGCCTAGAGGTCTGATCCAGCACGCCTCACATCAGTGCAACAAGGGTGTTTGTGAACACCACATCGTAAACCATTGAAATGGGCTGAAGCTTGATTAAAAATGCCATTGTAAAATCTTGCCATAAAAAGATGACTCCCTGAGCAGATTAATGATCTGTAAAAGGTAACAAACTATGGATTATGAATACTATACACTGAAAAAGAAACGAGAGTGTAATAACGACAGCCAGCCAGTCACAGCAGTGTGAAGCTGTGTCGGGGCCTCATTCCTCCAAGAAACCAAGTAGATGGTAGCTGGAGCAGAGGCCTTCTGGGAAACAGGGTCTGACTGTGAGGAGTCAGGGGAAACAGATCAACCATTTAAACTGTACATCAATATCTTGCTTGATCCTGGAGAAGGCTGACGACAAGCTATGCCATGTCCGGTTCTGCTGTGGGTTCTTCTGTCTTCTGTACTTTAACTGGGGTACCCAGGCACTCTTCATCCTGAGCAGAAGAGCACATCCAGGTCAGTTAAGTCTGCTCATCCTGTCAGATACAAGCATGTAATGCCACACACACACACACACACCATTTAACAGTTGGTTGTTCATGGGTCTTCATATAGGTGTCACTACTCTCCTAGAGCCTGTGAGGGGTCGTGCCAGTTTAAAAAAAAAAAAAAAAAAAACGTTTACTTGTGTATACAAAATGTTAATTTCATCTAAATAACTAAGACTTGTGCCCAAAGGGAAGTGTTTTACAGGTCTGTCATGGGCTGATAATGTCTGAAATGTTCATGGAGGTATTTATGTGATGTGGTCCTTACTATAGGAAACAGGAAGTCCGCTGTGAGACAGTAGAGTTCAGGTAACTGTGGGGATCAGTCAGTGAAGTCTGGAGGAAGTCATTTCTTAGTTATTATTATGATTGTTGTATGTGGGTTACATGTTTGTCTCAGACAAACGTATTCTTGTTGCATGTTTAGTAGCCTGCTGAGCTCAAACCACCACTCCAGGTCATCTTAGAAGGTTATTGGACATGAATCAAGTGAACACTGTACTGAGTCTCATTTATTTTTAAAGAGAGAGCTGTGTTGCTTCCCAAGAGATTTATTGCCATCATCAGGAAATCGTGGACCTAAACAATATCTGTTAAGTTAAACTGTGGATGACTGGGTGCTCCAGCAGCTCAACAGGTGGACCGGTAAACAGGCTACGGTCCCAACACAGCGGCCGTGGTTTCATCCCAGCCCACGGCCGTCTGCTGCCGGTTCTCCCCATGTCTTCTTCCTACTGTCCTGTCTCTCTACTGTCCTAGCAAATAAAGCCAGAAGGCCAAAAAACATAAATGTGGATAACCTGAACAGATTTGCAAGTGTTTTAAAAATGACTGATTCTTTAAAAAGCCATTTAACACCAACTTAATGTCCACTGCTTTGATTGCAGCTCCAAATGTCCTAAAATACTGGAAAACAGAAGTCCTTCAGCTCACCTCCACTAGAAAGCTGTGTGTGGTGAGGGAGGCTGGGGCGCTTTGGGAATCAGTCAGAGTAGGAAAGTCCAGTTCAATGTCCATGACATCGTTGAGGTCCAGCTCCTCACTGAAAAATAGAGGAAACCCCATGAGCACAGCATTCAGCTGATGACACCGAAGAATGCAGACAAGTATATACACACAAGTCAAAAAACATTTGCTCACATGTTATCAAGGGCTTTGTCTTTGCCGTCCTCTCTTGGGGGATCCCAAGCATGCAGTTTGACCTTCCACAGTTTGATCTGCTGGTCCCAGGAGCGACGGCTGTACTTCCTGAACTTGTTTGGAGTCTTGGGGTGAATGCCTGGCTGACGCATGTGTCTAAAAAAACCAAAAAAAAAACCAAAAAAAAAAACAAAGAATGGAAGCAGAGCAGTTGGAGTTTAGCTGATGTATCGGATATTTGAACACTCAGAACATGACTGCTGAGAAAGAAAGTGAAGATCCAAGTGCTCAGAACAGTTCCATAGCGATTTGGAGTGGACTTACTTTGGAACCTCCTTGATGTAGCGGTCGTAGGCCAGCGTGTTCTTGCCATAGTTGATCTGTTTTTGTCTTCGTAGCAACACAGCTTCATCAGTCTCCATGTTTTCTCCCTCTCTGGAGTCACAGCTGAGGGAGAGACACAGGTTTACCCACAAGCCCACAGCAGAACACGATTCATTTTGAATGGAAGTCCAGATGGTGGCTCCAGCCCTGTTCAGCGTAGGATACCTCACACTGCTGGCCTCATCAGCCTGGCACCGATGTCTGGACGGCATTATGTTACTCAGAATGTTTCTCACTGCCCACAGCAGTGATGGAGAGCCATAGTACACACAGAATAAACAATTCATCCAGTGATGTATAGCAAAGTCATAAACAAAAGACGAAATGTAAATTCACTCAGTCACTAATCAGTTTCTGATCCTCGTCCATCCCTTCTCCACATTGGGAATAATGTATAGATAAGCAACTTGCATCCACTGACAGCTGGATGCAGCAAACTGAACACTACTGTCTACAAATGTTTGATCTCTTATATGTATAATTGGTGAGTGTCATTAATCTGAGGTGTTATGGACTATCCTCGTCACAGTAACCGGTTTATCATTGTTTTAGTTTGTAATAGATGTCAAACTGTAGAGCACAGCGAATGAAAAGGTGGTTTTGGCTTAGAAACTGTAAGTTTGCTCCCTGATGTGATGTTTTTAGGCCAATACTGGTCTATGTAAACATCTTCCACAAGTCGCATCAACACTTTGGGTTGTAAATATATAAACATATAAACCAGGTCTTTATCATGCCTCGAGGAGATATCTTCAGTAGTAGCTAGTCTGCTACCTGAACTCACTGACAGAGGGCATGATACATGCTGCTACTACAACTGTTGACTGTAGAGGGCCTCAGTGGGCTGGATGGATGGATCCCTGTCCATCCGATAACTCTATGAAACATAACCATGGATCGTATTACACATTGCAGGAACTAGTGTCTGCATGGCTGGGTTAGGGTTAGGGCGTCCACCCCAGCATGGTGGGGGACACAGGGCTACGGGTGTTAGCATGCATGGAGCCCAGGCGGCTGCCAGCAAAAGGACACTGGGAGACCTGTGAGAATCCACAGAGGAGAGCAATAGATCCCCATGGCAACTAGAGACCATAACTGCACAATAAGTGATCAGTTTGTCTGCATTAGGAGGCCAATATCCCACCAGTTTATAAATGTAATGCTCAGACACAGTGTACGAGAAAGACCAATACCTCCCAGAAGAGCCAGAAGAGGTCTTCCTCTCCCTCTGGGTCACCTCGGCTCCCAGTATTCTCCTCCTGTAACTGAACAGAGTGCAGGCAGTCAGCCATGACCCATTTAAAACAGCTTATACCATGGTCTGGGTGAATACTCGATTCTGATTGGCTGCAGGGTGTCCATTAAAAAGTGATATAGGACACCTATAAAGAAGTTCCGGTCAAATAACCTGATTGTTCTAAATTAATGCGCTGACTCAAACGGTAGTTGGTAACCGTGGCAACAGAAACTCAGAACATACGTTAAATATTTATATTTCGCATCATCCTCTGGACACACACAAGCGGTAAGAGGTGCACTTGCCCTCACGTTAAGCAATCATCTCACTTCCCTCCACTTAGGCCTAATATAACAGCTGCGGCCGACCGGTTACCTTGGCAACGCGTCACAACGAGAGACATGAAATAGTCCGCTCAGCCGCTTGTTGTGGAAAACTTACGATTTTAACGGTAAAAAACAACATTAACGTATTAATAATTGATTTAATATTTATTTAGTAATATCTTTCGTAAGTGACCATGGTATAAGCGGGATAATGCCCTTCGAGGTGTCCATTATCAGAAATTAATGGACTTCGCGGAAGCAACCGTCCGACGCTTTTGTTCACGCCTCCGCATCGTCCATTAATTTCTGATAATGGACACCTCATCGGGCATTATCCCTTACATATAAAACAGCAATAAAACTATTAAAACACAGTTTACTGACCGCTGCATGTCCCTGTGGACATCCCTCCTCATCTCATCGTCCTCCACCTGGCTGCCCCAGTCGGCCTGTCGACCACAGCGGGACACCGGACCTGTGCCCTCTGGAGTGGTGAAGCTAGAGAGGAAACAGAGGATTAGCTGCCCAGTGGGTCCACAGCATGCTACAGAGACCGGACCTGTGCCCTCTGGAGTGGTGAAGCTAGAGAGGAAACAGAGGGCTAGCTGCCCAGTGGGTCCACAGCATGCTACAGAGTCAGAGAGCTTGATGGATGTTTTTGATGCATTGGCAGCGCTGCATCTACCCCAGGCTGAGCTACTGCTCTTGACTCTGTAGAAGCAAGTGGTAGAAGTTTCTGGCGAGATGTCCAACCTTTATGTCCATTTCCAACCAAGCTGCCACACTTTAACCATAATATGGAAACATACTCGTCAATGCAGGTGTCCAATGTGTCATTGGGCTTGCATTGGGTTAGGGTTAGTATATTTATTTCTTCGCTGGCTCTCTGTCTGTGAGACCAAGCTATTTAGCTGCTGTGCATTCCACAGATAAAGTGGTCGCTAGCTGATTATTTTACAAAACAAAGTGTGGAGAGAGGAGGACGCTCGTGGAGAGGAACTGGTCTGACTCATCACACCTGATGAACAGATGCAGATGCAGCAGGAGACACTGACTGAACTGGTACAGGGGGACAAAGAGCAATACATTTAACTGTCATGGCCAACAGCAGTAGGGCTGCAGAATAAAATTAACATTATTCACAATTACGACTTCGGCTTCCCACGATTACATGAACAGGATCAGCTGCATTACCAACATTTTAAATGCTCTCTGCTCAGAGAAAGCTCTGTATTTTAGAAAACAGCTAAATTATTTGATCTTAGGTGAATCTGATATCAGTACTCCCTATTTCACTCTATTCAACCACTGGTCTTTTTTTTGTAACACTCTGAGTGCACTGCAGCCACCAAACAGCACCTCCACCATGTCAGGCATTCAGGGAACATGAACAAACTGCAGTGTCTGTCAATAAGCAGATGTCATGCAAGGAAAGTGTCTTGTCTGTGACCAGGTTATAGCAGTGATATCAGATGAAATAAATACACTTTCTGATTTAAATATCTGGATATATATCCAGTTACTGTCAGTTTTTACATCAGTGCAATAGTGAATGTAATGGGATACGCTACCAGTGACCGTCGGTCTGGGCCCTGGTTGCTGCAGCTCATCTGAACATGAGCACTTTATAACCACAGGCAGGCCTGTAAAGCTGATGCTGCACATCAGACTTTAACTGTTCCAACTGGATAATTATTGGTTTGATGCTCCAAAGGGTTGAAGATTCATAAGCTCCACAAGGTTTTATCTGCTCTATGCCTGTTGCAGACATAAAACTGCCTCTACTGGGAGTACACTCTTACCTTGCATGTCTGCTGTCCAGGTGTCTGCTGCCAGTCTGCCCGACACCTTTCAGATCACCACCATCTGCCTCGCTGGTTCGTAGGCTTCCATCGATTCCTCTCTTCCTGCAGTGGGACCACCGAGAAGGACCGATGTTTCTGCAATAGACGTGGATTCAAACATTCAGGTATACATTAATTAATTAATTAATTTTTACACACATGAGATCACAATCCTGAGTCACGCAGGCCATCAAAACACAACAGCACCAAATAAACCCACATGCAGCATGTGGAACCACCCGCTGCTGCTTTGGAGGCTGCAGCCACATCATGTAAATCAGAACCTGTTGATGCTACTGAACAGTGACAGCAGCTCTCCAGCTCCCAGGATGGAAACCAGTCCTTTTCTCTTACTGTTTCAGGCACAGTGTTTTATAATGGCAGATGAATAGAAGAGTCTTCGTGGATTTCAAAAGAGTGTTTCAAACTGCCTCTGGATTCTTCTTCTCAAACTTTGCCAGTTAATTATCTTCTAGTGAAGATGACTGTTTGGACTGGATGTCTGACACCAGCCGGTGTCTGCGAGAGGCTGAGTCCTGTCTGGGGCCGAGTCCAGTCATCAACAGCCCTCCCGTCTGCCCGCTTCTACCAGTCGGGTATGTGGACCACGAGTTCCCCACTAGAGTGCAAGGCGGTGGCCCAGTGTCCTCCAGGACCCGAGGCCTCTGAGCACCCATCGGACGGGGCCTTCCCCCAGCTAGCTAGCATCACATCTCAAGGAGGAACCTGCTCAGGATCTGAACGACCATAGTACGAAGAACCACATCATCAGCAAGACGTTCAGAGACAAGGACCTCGGCCTGGTACTCGATGGAGAACGGTAGAGGGCTTCCTCCTCCCGGTACCGACCGCCTGCTCAACTCTGGACTGTTGGGTACTGTTCAGGTTCTGAAGTCTTCACCTGCTATGTTCAGACTGGGAGACGACTTCCGCTGTGAACTGCGTTATATAAATAAAACTGAATTAAGTAAGAAGACACCGGTAGAGGTTCTAACGGACACAGAATCGCCCTATGGATGTCAGGGTCACACAAATAGTCAGTCAGCAGTACCAGGAAGTCACCGAACAGAACTGAGCTAATCTCACACAGCGGCCTCCGCGGAGTGACCGACGCCGTGAGCGGCGGGAGCTCGGAGTCGCGCCGGGAGCTCGGAGCAGCGGCCGAGCCAGCAGCGGACGGCGGGTTCAGCACTCACCTCCGGTCGGGCTCGCTGCTGGAAGCGTCGCGCTGCCGGTCTCTGGTCCAGTCAGACATTTTCTCGACAAAATGGAAAGCTGTTCTGCGGCTGGCTGAGACCTCTCCGACACTCTGCTGTCTACAAATACCCGCCAACTGAAAGACGCGCGGCTCCAAACAATACGAGCAGTCATGTGACCGGAAGGGGCGTCCATACCTCACGTCACGCACGTCAGCAACGACCAAACGCTGGGGGGGGGGGTCACGTGACACATTCCCGGAAATATTCCTTGGATCTGTGCGATTTGTAATAGTTCGCAGTCAATAAATGAATCGATTTACAGCATTTTTACAACACGTCGGCACGTCATCAGTGTCTCTAAAAAGTGAATTCTTCCGTATCTGAGAACTATGTAAACAACTGGTGTTACCCGTAGATATGTATATTAAAAGCCTTCATTATACATACCTATTGTGTTACCTGCCTACTTGACGAGTTATCGTTACCGTGGTTACAGAGCAAACTGCTGTTTATTGCTTGAATGGCCGTCAAGAGCAGTGACATCCTAATGTTTAGTGACATATTCAGAGGAAGGGAAGGAAGAAATGTTCTACCATTCAGATTCGATCGATGTTTCAGTGAAAGCAGACTGACATCAATAAAGTATTCTATTCGATTTTATTCTATTCTATTCTGACAGCTATCAGTGGATCACTGGATCAACAGCAGCAGCTTCTTTGTTGACATGGGATGTCTCTGGACACACATTGCAAATAAGTACAACTACATTTATTTTGTTTACAATTTTTATTGCACTAATATAAACACTGAAACATAATATATTTGCATTTATTACAACTTTGTTGTCCACTTTTTGCATGAAAATGAAAGAAATTTGTCTTGCGTGTGCAGAAATCTGCTTTTCAAAATGCTGCATTAAAACATATCACATCCAGAGTGGACAGGACACACAGAACATATATTTCTATACAAGTCTATACACATACAGACATATATTTATATACATGTCTATACACACAGAACATATATTTATATACATGTATACACATACAGACGTATTTATATACATGTCTATACACATAGAACATATAGTTTGTGTGTCTTTTGATTTGTTACTATCTACTTAGTTGCTGCAATTAAGTCCTTAATTGAACTCCTGTAAAAGTGTTCCTGATTGGGCTGCAGGTGGATCAGTGGTTAGCACCGTTGCCTCACAGATAGAAGATCCCCGGTTCGTCCCGGTGAGGACACCTAAGATCTTTCTGCTTGCAGTCTCCATGTTCTCCCTGTCCTAGATCTGACCTGGTCATTAAACACTGCTAACAGTTTTAGCCAATGAAAGCTGCTGTAACTCTTAGCTTGTTTGCTTCTTGGTTTCATTGAGTCATAGTTTGATTTTGTGAGCTCAGCAGATGATAACAATTAATTATAGCCAGCATATTAATCAATACTTCATCAGATTATAAAATAGGCTGAATTGATCCTTGTCTGTCACTACATCAAGCAGCTGGACTCTTCAGTGTGGGTTTAATACACACTGTTTTCTAGTTTTAATAGAGAGGTGTATGAATCCTGACTGCAGTCCTCTTAGCAGAGCTCCTGCTGTTGAGATGTTGGTTCTGTCATAGTTTACTGAGAGCCTTTATGGACCAGAGTCATCAGCTGTTCTTCTTGTGACAGGTCCAAATGTCTGCTGTGAACAAGGTCTGGTCTCTGTTCTCAGCTCCTGTCATACCCACACTGATCATATTCTTGATGTTTCATTACTGTCTTATCATGTCTGATGCTTTGTGTGTTTTGAAAGGTTCCAACAAATAAAACGTGTTGTTTCTTTTTAATATATTTTTTGGGCTTTTGCCTTTATTTAGAGCAGTAGAGAGGGAGACAGGAAAGGGGGGAGACCTGCAGCAAAGGGTCATGAGCGGGACTCGAACTCACAACCGCTGCGTGGGGGACTGTAGCCCCTGTTCATGGGTCGCCCGCTCTACCACGTGAGCTATAGGAGCGCCCTAAAACGTGTTGTTTTTATTGTTGTATGTAGAGAGAATGGTATTCTACAGCACCAGTTTTTTTTTTTTGTTGTTTTTTTTTTAATTAATTTATTTATTTGACAAGGGACAATGCACATTAATCAACATTGTAAAATGCAAATGTGACCGAGTTAGCTAAATTAAGCTAGTTTTCATTGGCAGTCCCTTTGGCAGTTGTCAGAGCCAGCCTAAAAATTTTTTTAAAAATTAACATCGCATAACAATTTACACATACAATAAAAATACAGGGGGGAAAAAAAACAACATGCAACCAATATATTTACATTTCCCGTGACAATTAGTGCTCACAGGTCTGTGTCTCTAGCAGCCACCTTTTGGCGTTCGTTTTCAATGTAGACAATGATGGAGACTCTTTTGTCACTTCAGGCACTGTTCCACTGTTGGGACGCACTTAATGAAAAGACGGCCTGGCCAAACACAGTTTTTCTGTGGGGGAGAATGCAGTCCTCCGTCACTGCTTCCTGGTCACTCTACCTGCACTTGATTTAAATTTAATAAAGTCATTCAGTGAATGGGGAGTAGAACCAGTTTTAATTCTGTACATTAAACAAATATTTTTTAAATTTTACCAGATTATCCCAGCTCAGAAGTTTATATTTCTGTAGAATGTGGCAATGGTGATAACTGTAAGGTATTTTTTTATCCAGTGTTTTAAGAGCTTGTTTATATAATGATTTTATGGGACTGATTGTTGTAGCATGTGAATTAGACCAAGTAATGATACAACATGTGATGTGGGAGAGGATTGTGGCAAAAAAAAGCATGATTTTGCAGCTTCCCTTGATAGACAGTCTCTAATGAACCGAAAAATTGTTAAACTTATTACAAGCTTTTCTTATATGCGATTTGAAGCTAATGTTTGAGTCTAAATTTAATCCCAAATATTTTAATTCTGTAACGGCCTGTAGTTTTTGTCCTGCTATTGAGATATCTGGTTCAACGTTTGAATTGTTTTTTGAAAAAAAACATGCATACAGTTTTGGATATATTAAGATGCAGACAAGAGCTTTGGTGCCAGGATGTGACCAGTACAATTACGTCTGTTAGTTATGATGAGACCTCCTCAGCTGTTTTACAATGAGCAAAGATGACAGTATCATCTGCGTACATGAGGGTGTTGCAACTCTGACAGACCAATGGCAAATCATTAATATAAATGTTATAAAGAACTGGACCAATTATTGAGCCTTGAGGTGCTCCGGTAAATGTTTGCAATGATGAAATATGTCACACCTTAAAGGGCGTAGGATGTTCAGCCCAAGGTGTGGTATACAGTGTGTATATATATATGTGTGTGTGTGTGTGTGTGTGTGTGTGTGTGTGTGTGTGTGTGTGTGTGTGTGTGTGNTGTGTGTGTGTGTGTGTGTGTGTGTGTGTGTGTGTGTGTGTGTGTGTGTGTGCGTGCGTGTGTGTGTGTGTGTGTGTGGAGATACCTGTTCATGTGACCTGTACCTATGCACCTCTTGTTTAGTTTTTTTTGTTGTTGTTGTTTTGTTGTACTGTACCTTGTTGTTTCGTGTGTACCAGCAGGTCACAACACATGTTCGTACGCACTGCTCCATGAACAGCTGTATGTGTCACAAACACATCTGGTCTGATGTTTGATCTGATTCGGGATGAGACTGTGAGCCATAGATATGTATAATTAAGGCCTTTAATATACATATCTATGCTGTGAGCCCCGAGTGACGCAGGAGGCGCTGTTTCCCAGACAACAGGTTCCATAACAACCGGGACGCTCGCTCTTGATTGGCTGCAGCAGCTTCCTGTCTCCATGCTATTTTAAAGCCACTTCCTGTTGAGTTCTGGATTAACGGGTCCGTCTTATGAAAGGCATAAATCAACATTAAGATACTCTGCTGTCCGGTTCGGTGAAGGTGTCCGGTAAACGTGTCGGTAGATGGAGGAGCGTTCATAAGTCCTGCAGGTTATTACTGCTGACAGGCTGAGGAGCTGACAGGCTGACTTTATGAGGAAGGACACGCAAATCGTCAAAAGGCTTCTGTTGCACCGAGATGCACTAATTCTGAGTTAAGCCATGAAACGGTGGACCTCGGCCCTGAAATGTGAGTGACCCGTTGACGGTACCGAGGCTGCTGTGGTCTCACGGCTCCCACCTCCTGACACGTATTCAGACTGAAGCAAACCCAGTCACACTACACCGGGACATGTGAGCTCCCCGCAACCCGACCGGGACAGGTGAGCTCCCGTCAGCCCGACAGGACGAGCAGGCTCCCGGTGGTCGGAGGCGGGTATCGGTCAGACCTGTGCATCAGAGGCGGCCTGTGGCTGCAGCTTTACCGATCCATGCTGGACGAACCGGGACATGCGGGATTTGTGACCGACAACACAAACGCGTTTCCAGTTTTGGAGAACTAAGCCTCAGGTATGTTTGTGACGCGTTGTGTCACCTGGTGGAGGTTTCAGGTGTGAGCTGCTGCTGGATGGGCTCTGGGCAGGTTGTCTTTATTCCTGTTCTCATCTTTTTAACCCCGTTTGCATCCCGGAACTACCTCTGCCAGATAATTGTTGTATTTTTCTCTGAAGTCCATAGGGGGATAAAGTGGAAGGTTCAGGACCCTAAAGTGATCTGTAGTCCACCTTCATAACTGAGCTACTGTTCATGTACATATGGAGACACCTACTGTCTGTATGATGTTGCCTACATACAGCTGAAAGGACACACAGAACATGTGTTGGTGGTGTGGTCCAAGTTATTGTTCAGGCTTCACTACAGCTGTTCCATCACGTTCAAAATATAAAACTCTTTTAGGAAGAATGTTTGATCTGACCTTTTAGATCATGGAGGTAGAAGTTGGAGAACATGATGACAAACAGGCCTCTGGGATTCTGAAGCTGTCCGACCCCTGACAACACTTCTGATGGCAGCTTCATCAGCTTCTTCCTGTTGCTCTAAAATCCTGTTCCATGCTGTCCATTCACATTTCAGTGGCTCTGGATGGGATGGATCACAACAACTCAGAGATCCTGAAGGATCCTGGTGGAGAGCTGGTTCTGACAGCAGGTGACCTGAACACACACATGCTGACATGACATTCACATTACAGTCTGTTCAGATGTCTGATGATGGGGTTTGTTTTCTCTCTTCCAGACTGGGAACTTTCAGAGTCCTTCTGTCCTGAGAAGGAGCAGGTTAGTTGTTTGTGACATGGCTGGTTTCAGACCCCCTTTAGTCCCTGACCGTTCCTGTAGAAGTCCTCTGAATGCTCATCTGTGGCACATCCACAGTGAATGTAAGCTGTTTGAACCATTGAGCCACTTGAAGTGCTTGCATGGTCTTGGTCTCTTTTAAAAGATGACACTGATGTATTTCTCCAGCAGTCAGAGTTATTGTATTTGGGGCGGCTCTACGCTGGGACAAGAGGGGCAATACCCCCTTACAAACGACCTGCCCCCTTAAATCAAACCTTTAGAAGTTGAGAAAGAAAATAATAGTTACCTAAAATTGGATATGGACAAGATATACTACAGTAGCTGAGAAACCCAGTGGAAGAGACACAGATGAGATGGTAGGTTTCTTTGCTTTTGTGCTGCTTGTGTGCAGGTCCACAGCTCAGGTGTTGCTCTGCCTGCACACTGAGGTCTGCTGCAGGTCGCCGGAGCTGAGACAGAAACTATGAGACGCTGTATGGTTTTCTACAGCACAGGACTGCTTGATAATGAAGCAAAACTCTCTGCCAGGTTTATTAGGAACTGCAAAACACCTGCAGTACATAGAGTATGAAAGCTTGGGTTTCTTAGCATTTACATTTTACTGACGCTTCATCTGAAAGAGAACTTCTGCTGTTATCGTTCAGCGTGTTTACAGGCTACCGCTGGAAACAGTTGTAGAGCTGCGTTCTGCCATTCTGCTCCTCCACCTCCCAGAGTTATTATCTGATGGGTCCCACCTGAATGTAAGGGCTGAGGCTCCTTACAGTCATGCATCGCTATAGTTCAGCTAAGGTCATACAGAAATCTCATTTTATTCTGTCAAGACAACATTTGTTGGCGCATTTGATTCAGGCATGTCCAGAAATAAAGTGAGAGGAGCAGGTTAGAAACTCACAATGTAATGTTGAAGATATGCCCCAAGCTCATTCATGTACAGTAAAGAGGGGGGGTGCATTATACGGCAGGACACATTTAGAAGCTGCCTGACAAAGTGCAATCCAGTTACATGACAAAACCAGTTATCAAGAAACTGTATGACTGGTGATGGAGGCCACCAAGTGACTGTGACTCCTCCACAGGAGTGATGAGCTTCAGCGGCTGAGGAGGGACAGACTGTGCAATGACAATAAAGTCAAATCAAATCTAATACACCAACTGTTAGTCACAGATTGAAGTTTAATGGCAAAATGGGAAGAGATGTGCACATTTGAATATTAAATCTGGACTGGAGTTCACCAAATATTGGTTAATAATATTGTAACCTTTTTTCTTTCTGTGTCTCATTCAGAGGAGATGTAGTTCCTGGACGGAGACGGAGGATCTAAGCATTAATGGTATGGCATTGATCTGGTCCAGCAGCACATAAGACATGACAGACTGGCTGCATCTGTGTGATATATTGTGAGAGAAGAGGTTCCTTCAACAGAAGTCCCTAAATATAGAGTTTGTATATATCGATTCGATTCCATCTTTGTCAGCTTCATACAAAGTGCAGTGAAAAGAAAACTCTAGAAAAAAAGAACTCATTTACGAAAAAGTAATCCCGTGCATACGTTTTTAAGGTCATCAGCAGGTGTCTAACCCTAACCCTCCAGTGTCTTGAACAACAGCCACAACATTAGAACACTGTGGAGGTTTCTGTTGTGCTGCTAAACAAGCTTGACCCCTGTAGGCGTTGACTCCACATGACCTCTCATTGGAGCTGCTTGTGGTGGTAAACAGGTTAGCATGTGCAGTCTGGGCAAAGGCTCACATTTGCATTTTTGTTTTTTGTTTTTTCCAAAATCAAATCAAGTCAGTTTTATTTGTATAGTGTAGTTTACAACATATACCATCTCACAGCCTTAACATGGTGAAGCATAGATCAGGGGTCGGCAACCTTTAACACTCAAAGATCCATTTGGACCCGTTTCCCACTGAACAGAAAACACCGGGAGCCACAAAACCCTTCTGACATCTAACATGAAGATAACACTGCATATATGGTTTTTACCTTTATGCTATGTATAAAAACTATAGTGTTGTATTTATGAAACCAATGAACTGCTGCAGAGGAAACAATATTTTATTTCTCCAACAAAAACATTTTGAACTCTGAAAAAAACAGACGCTGGGTTGAAGGTTACTTTCAAATAAAATACTCAAGTGTCTATTTGAGTCCTCCTTGTATTTATGAAATAAAAAGCTGATCTTAAATCCTTCACCTGCAGCAAAGTAAACCAGCATCTGGTTGTCCTGCTGCCTCCAGCTGGACTGCTGACCAGACTGCTGACCGCCTGTGAGCAGTTTGGGACAGGAGGAGCTCACGGCAGCACCGGTGCTCGCTGAGGACAGGAACAGCTCAGCGATGCGTGTTTTCACGTCAGAGTCTCCAAAACACCAGAAAGAGTCACTAGATTGGGCACTAGTCACTTTTCACAAAAAAAGTCACCAAGAGGATTTGGAAAGTCACCAGATTTATCCAGAAAGTCACCAGGTTGGCAGCACTGCCCGTGCCGGCGGATGTGACGCATATTTTGAGCGACAAAACATTAAATGTGTTTTATTTTAACATTACAAGATCACCATAATCTTCAAATTTAGAATTATATTTTAAAAACTAGTGAACTAAAATAAAATAAATTTAAATTAAATACTTATTTATTTTCCAAAGGAGCCGCAGCAGAGGAATGAAAGGGCCACATGTGGCTCTATGAATATAAGTATTCTGGGGGTCGGTGAGGCCAGCAGCTGGAGGTCAGAGACGTGAAGCTCCAGATCCAGATCCAGAGACGTCCACAAATCAGAGGTCTGGAATAATTGGCTTGAACCTGGAGTCAGACACTGATCCAGATGTAGTGAAAGTTTCACCACAGTCATTATAGAGGATGCAGATTGACACCAATATGTTGAACAGAGCATGTTTCAAAGCCGCAGTCTCTTCCAGGTCGACCAGTTCTGTACAGATCCAGCGCTGGTCTATGGGAAGATGTTCTTGGATCCTCACTTGAAAACTGTTAAAATCTTCTTCACAAGAAAAAGAGCTGATACAGTCAGGGTGAAATGAACTATCTCTGCAGGATTTTGAGCTGAACATTTAAAAACACCTCCTGGGAACAAGAATGAGACTTCCATCAGTTCTCCCAGAGTTGAACTCCCTCCTTACCAGAAGAGGGCTATTTGTTCTGTCCAGCCCTAAGGACACCCGCAGAGATGCTGCAGTGGCTTTCACTTGTTCTGTCTTAGATCTCACCGTTTTTTGATTGATCATAATCTTTGTGTTGTCTTAAAGCGACTGCTCAGAAAGGCTTTGCTTGGTGTTAAAATTACATTTTAGATTTGTGCTGTATGCTTGAGTGAATCTTTGAATGCTGTTTTCTTTTCTTTGTAAACTTTGACAGCAATATCTTCACCTCATCAGCACTGCACTCTGTCTGTTGTTGAGCTGTTCCTCCAGTAGTTCCTGTTCTATGAGGTTCCTCCTGCTTAATCATATCACTAATGTCACAATAAGAGTTTACATGATGTTCTAGTGAAAAAACAAATAGTAGAGCATCGGGGAAAAAGTTTAATATTTTCCATAAGTCATTTAAGAAAGTGTAATGTGGTCTACCCTCATTACCTTTTTGTTTAGATTTTGACGATTATGGTTTAAAGCTCATGCAAATCAGAAATCCTGTATCTCAAAATATCAGTACATGCAACCACAGGCAGACTTATGACTGAACAGTTGTCCAGAAGGTGATTCCTAATATGAAGCCCTCCTGAACCAGAGATGTCAGGAGTGTCTTATCTGGGCTCAGAAGAAAAGGGATGGCCCTCAGACTCAGTTCAGATAAAGTACATTTTGTATTTTGTTTTGAATTCAAGGTCATAGAGTACAACCACCACAGCAGGGCCGAGGTCGGTAGCTGGACTCTTCTCCTCTGTGGTTCCCCGGTGGTGGAATGAGTTACCAAACTGTTCCATCTGCTGACTCCCTCTCAGTCTTTAAGAACAGACTAAAGACCAGCTCTTCACTCAACACCTTTGCACTTGACAGACTGAAAACAAACATAGATGTCCTATTCCCTCCCTATAGCCTGCTATCGGCATCAAGACCCTACTACACTGAACCTGTTCTATGGCTCTTCTCCAAGTTGATTTCTCCTGACTATACCCTTGCTGGTGTTGTATCTGCTCTCAGACGTATGTCGCTGTGGATAAAAGCGTCTGCTGAATGAAACTGTAGAATTGCAGAGTCTGGAGGAACAATGGAGAGAGACAGAATTCAAAGTTTTTGAAGTCCAATGTCAAGTTCCTGCAGACTGATGGTTTGGATTTCCATGTCATCTGCTGGAGTTGGTCCACTGTGTTCTGTCAAGTCCAAAGTTAACAGAGTCACCTACGAGGAGATGTTAGAGCACTTCATGCTCCATCTATGGAGATGTCTTTTTACTAACAGGACCTTCCAACAATGCCAGAACTACGACCAAATGGTTTGCTGACCATGATGTCACTGTACCTGACTGGAGTGCCAACTCACCTGACTGGGACCCTGAAGAGAAGCTCTGGGGGGTTGTCAAGAGAAAGATAGGATAGTTACTTTATTGATCCTTTTACAGGAAGTTACTCGTTACAGAAGCTACATTAAAAGAAAAACAGAAAAATGAGATGAGAAACACCCGACCCAAAAATACAGACGAGTTGGAGAGCGTTACCAGATCAGCCTTCTCTACACTAACACCCAGTAGTGGCCCAGGCTGGATGCCTCTATGGCACGCTGCTGATGCAGTGATTTATAGTAAGTCCTGGGCTTATGAACAAAACAAACCCTTCAGAAGTTGGACATTTCTGTGTTGTAAATCTGTTTTATTTCTACTGATCTTACAAAATATTCAAACAGTTTCAGAGGTTGGATTTCTGATTTCCATGAACTATGAGCCATAATCATCAAAAGTAAAATAAACAGGGTGTCCATGAACCTGCTGTGTGGTAGTGCTGTCTAATCATGAGGGGAACTAACGCTGGATGTGTATCCTTCTAGGTTACCTGTCTCAGAGCTCCATCTCCCGGTCCTTGCAACGAGCTGAGGTTCTGTTCAGAAGCACCTTCAATCCCAGTCTGAAATGGTTGTTTCATGGTCACAGCAATGATGAGGAGGAGGAACATTTTGTTGTGGCTCACAACCTGGTGTCCCGGTCCTCTGCACGCCTCCTGCGTCTTCAGCAAGCTCTCCTCACCATGTCCCCCCAGTGGCAGCTGGTGGGTGAGGCTCAGGTTGCATCTTCCCAGGTGAGTCCAGCTGGATGTCAACAGCTTTAGGGAAAAGATGAGAAAATAAATAGTTTATGCAAAGTAGAGCACAACTGTCATGAGGAAGCTGTTGATGTGTGATCACCTCATTAGATGATCTTTAGTGTCCAGTGTTCTCTGGATGTCTAGCAGTTGTTCTGATGAAACAGGTGACGCTCGTCTTTCTGACGACATTAATTCTTTATACAGCAGTAAATAAAACTACATAGAAACTGGTAACTATTTAAAATGTTTAGGACAAGCAGACGTTTGATTTTCTTTGAAACAGACCCTAAAAACAACAGTATTGATATACTAGAACAACATTACAAGGAACAGAAGCTCTTTCAGTGGTCCATTTCAGCAGTTCCGACCTGTTTTGCGCCACAGACCAGTTTCAAGCAGGACAACTGTCTACAAACCGGCCACCGTACACACAACAAATAATAAGAATTTTTTTCTATTAAAAAAGTGTCATAAACGAATGACTTTTTATTTCTAAATATGTATTTAGTTTTTCTTCTGTCTCAACATCGAGTCACTCCAGAGACGTTAGTTCTTTATTCCTGGTGGCAGCAGTCAGACTGACTCTGTTTAACGGCCGGACATGAGAACTGACGGGAGACCAGCTGGTCATTTTTCAAAATAAAACACCCTGCAGACTCTGTCGGAAATAGAATAAAAAATGAAATGTTTATATTCTTTCTGTGCGGCCCAGTACCAAATAAACCCGGTGGTTGGGGACCACTGATATACTTAACTAAAGTATCAGAAGATGTAATAGATGTAATGTTCATCTGTGGAAAAGTTAGGAACACAGCTGGCCAGAGAAGCTCATGTTGCCCTCTGCAGCAGTAAGAGCATTCCTGAGATGCTGCATGGTGCATGTGGACCACTCCTCCTCGAAAAATCCTACCAGTTGAAAGATGTTGAAGCTGAAGGTGTTCTGCCATTTTTAAATCAGTGGGGTTCTAATACAGGCTTTTCCCCGCACATAACCCTCCATGTCTTTCTTGTTGAACCCTCTGTGGATGTGTTGGTGTGTTTAAAACTCTTATCTTGTTGGAATGTCCACTTCCAGCTCAACTTCAGCTGGCAGACGGGCAGCTTCACAACATCTTCAAGCACTCTTTGATATGATGCAGACTTCTTAGTTGAACCAATAATAACATAGTTAAATCAACAGCTGCCCTGTCCCGGAGGCAGTACAGCAACCTGAAAGCAGAACACTTCTACCACCATGCTGCACATCTGTGGGAGCTTCTTCTTCTTCAAAGCTTCCATGTATTCCTACTGTTAGCATGTCTGAAGAACTGTATTTTTTTTATTAGTCTGTCCAGAGAACATTATTCTAAAAGTCCTTGTCTTTACCTTTAAAGTTCTCTGCAACCTGGAGTCTTACTCTGATGTTCTTTTAGCACAGTGAATGCTTTTATCAGGAACACCTCCAGCCCAGGTCCAGTTTGTACCAGCTGTTTCAGACTGTCGGTGCAGCACTTCAAAGAGCTATCTGTAGGTCCTGTAGGAACATCTGGAGGTTCTTGGACTTGTTTTTGCATCAGTCTGCACATTGGGTGGCCATTCATGGACATATAGGCAGTCTTTTAAATGTATTCCTCTTGTAGATTATTATTCTTTTAGTGGAAATTATTTATTTCCAATCATTTGGAGATCTTTTTAATACCTTGCCAGACTCGAAGGCCTCCAGGCCTCAGAGAGCTCTTTAGTGCTCGACATGATGACACCACAAACCTCAACAGATCCTTCATATTTAGGTTAAAATAATCTAGCAGTCACTCCTTAAAGATGTTTTAGTCATTGAGACATAATCTGATTCTGACTGCATTATTTTTCAATATAGTCTTCTTTAGCTTCAGTGCGCTTGGTTCACCTATGTTTAAGCTTCGCTAGCACTACTCTTGAGGAGGTCACACCTTCAGCCTTCAGATGCTGTCTACTGACTTCATTATCACTTTAGGGAGACACGTAGGAGTCAGACGGTGCAAGGTTAGAGTGAGTAAGGTTGTGGACGGGTGCATTGTCTGAGAGACGCAGCAAGCCAGCTCCAAGCTCTGCTCTCCTCGCAAAGAAAGGACAACAATCATTTAGAGTTTCTGTGGACGATACTATGAGGCTGTATAGCTCTGCTCCAAAGTGGAAGTTATGCCTCTTATTTCCGGGTGAGAATGTTTTATAGCTACGCTCAAATTAATTCATAGGCAGTTTATAAAACAGAATCAAGTATGTGCTTGTTTAAATATTTTCAAATCAAAGGATTTCCATAGGATGTACTTATTTTTTCACAAATGTAAGTGATACCAAGTGTTTGTTGTTGGAGTGTTTCTGGTGTTGTTGGATAAAAACATACAACATGAAACCAAAAAGATAAAACCCTGGATGTTCAGACATAGCTGGGATGAAGACACACACATCATGACTGGAGTGGACAGCACTAGGCCTCAAGATATTAAAGGTTAAACCTGGAGTAGTGACCTGCCCTGTTTGCTGGGCTGACAGCGCCGACTGTCACTAGGTGGGTGATTAGAAAAGCAAACTGTATAATAACTGAGAAACATGAGACGATATCAAACATAGCTGTGACTGAGTCTTTACTCTCCACGCCCCCACCCCTCTGCTGCCTCCACCGGTCAGGCCTGTGTTAGAGGCCTTCCAGGTGAAGGTGGGGTTCTCTTCCTTCCCTCTTCCTGCAGCCTGCAGGGACACTACAGAGCTCTGAGGATGCTCCTGGACCAGCGGTCCCTGCTGGTCTTTATACATGAGTACAGCAGGAGAGCTCGCCTGGCAGCTGCATACGTGGCCAGAGTGCGCCACCTGCTGGAGCATCAGCTGAAGACCTCACACCTGACACCGGACCAGGTCAGGAGGAACCAGGTCAGGATGAATCAGAGGAACAGCTTAAAGGTTTTTTACAAGCAACAAATGCAAAATGAACCTTAAATGAAATTCACTGTGAATCAACACCTAGTTTTTCTGCTTTTTGCAGCTTTCAGTATGTTTTAGTATATTTTTTCACCAGCTGGGTGTCTAACTGTAAAGGAGCTTCACAATAAGTTCATCAGAGTTTTTGTAATAGAAGTATGATGTGGTGTTTGATGAGAGTAATCTAAAGTCAACTGTAAAAAATGTGCAGCAGTCAAAACCACAACCAGGACCTAGAAAACACTAAAACATTACTATGGTGTTGTAGTCAAAGACCCCATGAAAACCTTCTGTCTCTTCTTTAACGTGACAGTAACGTGATCCAGTGTGAAACGGACAGAAAGGTGTTTCAACGCTTTAAAACAAACAAACAACATGATGCAGCTAAACATTAGCCAGCTTGATCTTCTGACGTCCAGATGATGCTGAGCTCCACCTTTGTCGAGTCATGCTACACTTTTAGCTTTTATATATTTGGATAGGTTTTAAAAACAGACATTAGAGGAGAAGTGTACAGCCAAATTAAAGTTGACATTGAATGAATGTAGTTCATACTGTGTTGCTGCTGTGACACATCCAGGCCACACTATTCAATATCCAGTTAAACTACGCAAATAGCACTATGGATAATTGACAGAGAGGTCACGCTCATCTGCTTTACTATTGCAATAGCACAAGTTTAGGACCTCTGAGTAACTACATTGTTAATGAAATAAGAGCATCCAGTTACCAAAGTGCTTCAGCGTCTTCAGGTTTAGCAGCTACGTGGTCATAAACTAACAGTGGGTACCGTGTGTACCGTTATATGTACTTCAGTTGCTGTTGTGATATGTCACTATCAGCCACAAACGTTAACCTGCTGATGATACAGTGCTGTAGGAACGTTCACTGCAACCCACTGAGTCATGATTGTAGTGACACCTGTAGTTTTATCAACTTCTGACTTTTTCATCCAAAACTTCTTCATTCTAAAGAATCAGTTTTTGTGTTTTTGTCTGACAGCTTCTGTAGTATTTATTCAAGGGTGAGGTATCAGCACTTAAACTCTTCCTGGTTTATTTCATAGTATACCACTAGTGCTCATCTACAAACACAAGCATGTTCCTCTACTTTCCAGATCCCATCCAACTGGTCTCCATTCAGAGTTGGTCTGGGCTCACTGGGTCACGAGCTCCGGGTCCATCTCAACCACTGGTCCTGTCTGTTCTCCAAAGTCCAGTCTGACCACTATCTGAGACACACTGTTCTTCAGCAGACCAGCCTGCTGTTGGAAATCAGACAGACTTTGGACTTACTGGGTCTGCAGGCGCTAGTCTTGATGGAACACTATGTGCATGCCATTCTGTCTGCTGTAGCACAGACTGAGCTGGACTCTGTACCAAGAGAAGTCCTGGAAGACATTCTAGCAGGTGCAGACCTGTATAACCAGGCAGTGGAGGAGCAGAGAGGGCAGCACAGTGCCACCCAGCGGAGGACTGCATTACTACGGCATGGACATTACTCCACGTTGGATTCTAGTCTTCCAAAGATCAGAAGACATCACCCTTCTGCGTTCTCAGTTCAAGAGATAATGGCCATTTTAGCAGTGCATAATGCAGAGGTGGCAGCCAAGCAGCTGCAGCACTGGGTGTTTGAGCAGAGCTGTCACATCTGTCAGGTCCACGCCCACCACCAGCTGTGTGCATGTTCTGATACCTGCACTAGTCCGGTGCCTGGGCCCAGCTGTGGGACGTCCACGCTGAGGTCTGAGTGGACCTGGGAGCAGCTGCAACAGGCCTACCTGACTTCCTCTCCTCTCTTTTGCATTAGTCATCCCACTTTCCAGCCATCTTTGAGCCACTCCTGCAGTAAAACTCCACCTATTTGCATGCCTGAGCTTCATTGGGACAGTACCTTCTTGGAACACTGTCGTCCTGCTTTAGCCAAGCCCAGTTCTGTCCAACACATAAAAGAAGGCTCTACAGAAGACCCAACTGGCCAAAACCAGACATACATGTTGCAGTCTGGTCTCAGCCAGGGCAGCATGGAAGCTTTAGATTCTGTGCAACCAAATGGAGACAGAAAAAAAAAGTTAGAAAGCTGTCCATCACCACGGACTGTCTCAGCCTCTTCCACCAGCCTCCGTCATCTCACAGCCCTGCCTCTGTCCAGGGTCTCCCAACTGGACCGTTCCTCAGCACAGTCACTCTTTCAGTTATTGGTTTCCTCCAGTGACCTGCTGGCTCAACTGTTGTCGCATAATTCTCCACCAGATGGACCAACTGAACAGCCACGCCCAGCTACAACACCTGATGTGTTCAATGGAAAGGACTCAAGGATTTCATGTGCTCCTGTCACAAATACAACTGATCCAGTGAATCAAAACAAAGACCAAAATGTGGACAGAACTCTGGAGAAACAGGTTGAACTGGGAATAACAACTGGGTCAGATGCCACTGGAAGGTAAGGTCAAGATTAGCAGCCACTGACTATTGGTAATCTACTGTTTATTGGCTGTGTATTGAGTTATTGTACACTGACTGCTTTACATGGTAGCAGAGTGTCATTTCTTCACTGTTGTCCCATGAAAAGATAGAATCAAATATTTGCAGGAATGTGGACTCACTTTTGTGACATACTGTACACGTGAGCTTTGTTTACGACTGTAGATACAGCACTTAGCAACAAATAGAATAAATGCTTCTGAAGTTTCCACATGTAGCTGTACCACATACAGAATGAGTCAAAGAGGACTAACAGTTTAGGTACTTAAATGGTAAATGGACTGCACTTATACAGCGCTTTTCTACCTTAGCGGCACTCAAAGCGCTTTACATTGTGTTCTGATTCACACATTCATACACCAATGGTGACAGAGCTGGCATGCAAGGTGCTGCCTGTCATTGGGAGCAACTTTGGGTTCAGTATTTTGCCCAAGGACACTTCCACTGTGGAGGGGATCAAATCACCAACCTTGCAATCAGAGGACAACCGAGCCACAACTTAACTAGCTGATCCATGTGTCCTGTCTAACATCATATCTGTTAAAATATAGTCATGTGTTACGCACACTTCATCATCACAGGATAATGAAACACTAAGAGACTGTTTGTGTCTTCCAGCTCATGCTTTCAGAGAAAGGGCGACCCAGAGAAAGAGGAGCTTGCAGGAGCAGAGGGGACACCAGTGGAGTCGGAGTGTGTTCGGTGGCCTCATTCGGTGCAGTGGTCAGACCTTGGTCAGTCAGTGGTGTTTGCAGATCTTCTTGAACAGTATCACACTCTGCTCTGGACTCTTTGCAGCAAAGCCCTGTGGCTACAACTGCATGTTCCACATGACAGCAACTCTGCCGAGAGCATCAACCTTCAAGACAGTCACATGGGCTTCAAGATCCTGCACAGGATTGGGCAAGCTTCAGGGACAGGTAAGAAGATACAGCCAGTGATAACACCTGTACACGTATGTGGCTGTAGTGTGTTTATGTGCATTTATATTATGTGTGGATTCAACAGCATGAATCCATGGACCCAACCTGACCAGTCTACGCTGTGCGGGTTGTGTAGTAGTGTGGGCAATGATTTATTGGCACAGCCCCTTAATACCAATCAGTCACTGTCTGAATCCACAGGCTGAGTACATTTGCTGACCCTGTGCATCCTTTTATGACCAAGGTTTACATCTTCTATTTATTACTTCTTGCACAATAATGCACCTTGTCATAAATTTAATTCAACTCAGTTCAGTTTTATTTTTACAACACCAACTCACAACTTATTCCGTCTCATAGCACTTCACATAATAAGGTAAGGACATTACATATTTTAAACAGAGAAACCCAACAAATCCAAAGTTCCTTTGGATTTCATTTGAGCAAGGAACCAAAATAGCTCCCCAGGAAGGCTCAATGAGGGGCCATCTGCCTCGACTGGTTGGGGTGGGACAGGTGAGTGGTTGGGGTGGAGATAGCAGATGGAGGACAGACAAACAGTATACAAGTAAATAGACAACAAGCACTACAGATTGGTATGGCTGTGACTGCAGATCAGAGACATGTAGGCCAGATCCAGAGACACCTGCGAAGGACAAAACACAAACTATGGGGGAGACACAAAGTTAGTGACATGCAGTGATAGTGTATAACTATTTGGAAGAGATGGAGAGACGAGTAGAGAGGTGGCTGTCCCCCGGCAGTCTATAGCAGCATAACTCAGGGACAGTTCAGGTGATCCTGAGCAGCTCTAACTATCAACTTTATCACAGAGGAACATTTTAATCCTAACCTTAAAGTAGAGAGGGTGTCTGCCTCCCAAACCCAAACTGGGAGCTGATTCCACAACAGAGGAGCTGATAACTGAACCTACAGGCATGTTAGTTAAAGGACATGTCCTGGTCAAAAATAACTCCAGCGTTCTTTACTGTAGAACTGGAGGCCAAGGCGATGCCATCTTGAGCAGCTATCTGGTTCGATAGTGTGTTTCTGAGGTGTTTAGGGCCAAATACAAGAACCTCAGTTTGTCTGGATTTAAATGAAGGAAGTCACAGGTCATCCAGGCCTTTATGTCCTGCAGACATTCCTGGAGTCTGACCAACTGATTGGTTTCATTTGGCGTCATAGATGAATACAGGTGGGTGTCGTCTGCATAACAGTGGAAATGTATGCAGTGCGTCCTAATAATACTGCCTAAGGGGAGCATGTACAAGGTAAATAATATAGATCCTAACACAGAGCCCTGTGGAACTCCATAACTAACTCTACTGAGGGTGGAAGAATCATCATTAATATGAACAAACTGGAATCTGTCTGATAAATATGATTTAAACCAGTTTAGTTCCTTTAATCCCAATTAAACATTCCGGTCTCTGTAATAAGATGATCAGCTGTACAGGAAAACATTATTTCATCTCTGAGAAACTGTTTATCTAATAATATGTATTATCATATTATATCATGATACTCCTGGGTTGCTCTTTTTGTAGGTGTGGTTCCAAAGGAGTGCAAAACCATGCTGGAGGACTTCAGTCTGTATCTGTTGATCATTACAGCACATGCTCACTGGGACTACGGTGAGTTCACAAACACATTCTGGTACAGTTGTGAACAAAAGTTTACATCCCCTAGTAAAAACCATGTATGTCTTGGCAGTCTTGAGTTTCCAATGACTCCTAGAACTCACGGAAGCACAAAAAAAAAAAAATCCTGTATTTTGGTTCTTTCATAGATTTATTAAAGGTTTTCTGGAAACATGACAACATCTGTAGAGTCAAAAATACACATACAGCAGTTTAGGTGATGTAGAAAGTTGTGTTAATCAGATGTTCTTAGCGGCATGGCATCTTACCTTCTCTTGAGTGATTACTCAACTGACTACAGCTTGTGGTGTTTTTGAGCTGATTTAAATAGGAGCCATTTAATCCACTTATCAGACTCAGCTACAAACTCCACAGTGAGAATGTCTAAGGAGCTCATCTGGACAAGCAAAATGCTGACTCGAACAATTCAGGGAAATCACTTGGAGCCATTTCAAAGCAGTTGCAGATCCTAAAATCATCTGTGCCTTAGGGTTAGGCTTCCAGAGGAAAGTTCTGTGGCCAGATAAAACAGAAATAGAGCTAGAGAGATTTTAGACTGGTCTCGCCATCAAGAACCTATGGACTGATGAAGAAACAAGTGTGTGTCAGAAGACCAACTTAGTTTAACTTGTCAAAGATACAACCAGAAGCTGGTGGATGGCTACTAAAGGTGCATAGTTTAGGTGAACATAACCAAGAGATATTAGCTAAATATTAGCATGGGGTCTTCTCCCACTCTTCTCCCCACTTTCCTGTCTTCCTCTCTCCACTTGACTACCTAAAAAAAAAAGAATAGCCAAAAGGGCAAAAAATAAAAATATTAGTATTGCTATATGAACCACCAGGTTTTTTTCTCCATATTTCTAGAGGTTCGATAATAAATTTATAAAAGAATCTAAATGTGTGATTGGTTTTTCACGTGAGTTTAAATGATCCTAACCCTAACCCATCACAGAGAATTAAGAGGCGTAGGGGTCACTGGAAACTCAACACTCCCATGACATGTAAACTTCAGTTCACAGCTGTAGATGTTCTGGTGGCAGGGCTGGTGTTAGGACACAAGTTTTCATGTTTATTGTAGTTTTATTTTAGACTTGATGTTGTATTGGTCAGCTGGTATTCAGCAGACAGTGATCCAGGATTAAACATGGTACTGATGTCTGAGCAGTGCTCTGCATCATAGCATGTCAACAAAGCTTCACTTGTGGATTTATGGATAGATTAACTCTTCTTACTAATTAGTGTGTTGACAGAGCCTTTCTGTTGTGTTATTTTGTCATGCTGTCTCTCTTTTTCTTTAGTGTTGTGCAGAAGTTTGGGTTCTGCTCTAAAGGATCAGTGTCTTGCAAATCAAGGGACCAGCTCTGTGATGCCAACACTGAAGCAAAGTGGAGGTCTGATGAATTCACAGACCATGGAGCACTTCCTCCTGCTGCCTCCACCTCTGCTGTCATCGCTTTGCTGCCATCACTTAAAGAGTGGAGCCTTCGGTAAGAGCAGTGTGTCCTCTACAGTCACATCAGTGACTCCAGCAGCAGCCTTCACACACAACATTGCCACATTTATCAGTCTATTGACTTTTCCTTCACTGATTGCACTATTACAGCAAAAGCTCTACTTTATTTGCTGTGATAAAAGTAAAAAGGGACAAAATGTTGTAAAATATGTGGTCGTCAATCCCAGACAGTGGACCTTGAATTCAGTTCAGTTTGATTTTTTTTTATATAACACCACTTCATAGCACAAGACATCTCAGAAAGGTCAATAGATATATATATTAATCAGGCTGGGAGCTGATAACTGAAGGCTCTGCCTCCCATTCTGCTTCTGGGGACTCTGGAACCACCAGTAGACCTGCAGTCTGAGAGCAAACAGCTCTGTTAGGATGATACGGTACAATAAGGTCTGTAAGGTTACATGGAGCTGCTCATTGAGAGTTTTATATGTTAGAAGCAGGATTTTAAATTCTATCCTGGATTTTACAGGGAGCCAATGAAGAGAAGCACATACAGGAGAAATATGATCTCTGTTACTGGTTCCTGTCTACACTGGCTGCAGCATTTTGGAACAGCTGAAGGTTTTTGGGACATTCTGTAGGAATTACAAATGAACAAATGCACGGACATTTTCATGACCACTCTGAGAAGGGATTTGTTCGTGTCTTTGACAGTATTGTGCAGGTTAAAGAAGACCATTCTAGAGTCTTTAGTGACAGTTAAAGGACACGTCCTGGTCAAACATAACACCAACGTTAATAGTAACAGTAATGAAGGAGGCCAACCCAAAGTATATGTTAGATCATGTGTTTCTTAAGTGTTGACTAACAAATACAGTAACCTGAGTTGTGTGTAACGATAGTCTCCACTATACACAGGGGTCATTTGTTTTACTCAGTGAAAATAAACCTTCCAGCTGGTATGCTGGTGCACCCAGTGCTGTCCACACAGCACAGGTGGCAGCTACAGGTCAGCATTGGGTTAGGGTTAGGGTTAGGTCAAAGCCACATCCAGCTGCTTCTGCTGCTGCCGCCACATGTGTAGACGGCTGCATTGTCCTGTAGCAACAGCTCACTGTCTGAAAGCTTTCATCTCCTTTTCTCTTTGATTGCTTCAAACATTGAGTTTGTATGGACAGTGATGTAAGGTTTTATAGTTTAGAGTCATGCCCCAGATGTGAGGCTAAGAACTTTCTGAAGAACTCTTGTCTACGTCCTGGTAGCACTGGACTGCATATGGGTCATTCCCATGCCTGACCATGTTCCATGTGACTGATTAAGCTCCCATTGGTGCCAATCACAGGGGAAAAATCTGCCTCTTAGAGTGAAGCATAAAGGTTTTATGGTTGGTAGAATATCAGAGGAAACAGAAACATTTTGACCAGATTTACACCGTCCTATGTCTGGTTTGTATGATTCTGTCCAAGCAGGGTTGTGCCATTACAGACCACATGTACAGATAAATGAGCCTGCACATAGTAAGGGCTCCAGCTACATTATTTCTCATTGTATGGTGCTTCAAGCATTGCTCCACAGATTGGCAGGAAGAAAACTGCACAAATCGACACAACCCCTTAAAGAATGATTTCATTCACAAACTAGAGTCACGTGACCCCAGATTTTACACGTTTTACTGAATAACATATGTATACACAGAAAAAAAACTGACAAATTTGAGCTTGTCAGGCTTAAACTCTTTGTTATATTTTTGAAAGACCACATGCAGCATTACTCAGTTGGTGTTTTATCCTGACAGTAAAGCTGTTTCTCATTGTACTGATGGATCTTTAAGAGCACTGGGATGTTGTGTTTGGAGAAAGTCCTTCCAGGTTCTCCAGACACACCGGCTACTTAAACAATAACAGTACTTTTCCACCTGTTCCTACTGTTGCTGCATTCAAACAGGCCCAGCTGGGATAGCCACAGACTCTAAGTGCTTTCTAGGTTCTCCCTTTCCTAAATCTTCTCCCTCTGCCTTGGTAGATTCACTCCCAGCCCACTGCCTCTGGTGTAAGCAAAGTTAGGTGACAACCAATGGATACCACGGTTTCATCTTGGATAAGCTTCACTTGTTGACTAAATCTGTCGAAGTTTGGGTGTTGTGTGCAGGTTTTCTTACCAGAGGTGCTCAGCTGGGGACGAGGTGTTTTCTGTATGTCTTCAGTGACTGAGTTGATCCTGCTGATGGAGGGTCTGAGTGGTGCCCCTTCAAGTGTATCTCTGGAGGTTCATGTATGTGGTGGCTTCTTCAGGATCAAACAGAAATAGGATTCTTCACTGTTGTAAGCAGTCTGTGACCTTCTTTGTGTAGCTGGTCTTGGGCTCTGACCTCAGGGCCTGGTAGGCGTTGGTCACTGAGTAGGCTGGTAGCTGGATATGTTACCTCCAATGACACTGGAACAGTGATCCCTAAACAGACAGTTTGATGTGTGAAAACAGCTATCTAAGATGTTTTGTTAGAAATCAAATCAGACTTAGTGCAGTTCAGAGTGCTTCACATCTGACAGAGTGTTGTCAATCTTTAAGCAGTTACTCCATTGAGCTATTTCACAGACTTTTACCTTTTTATTCTTTTTCTGTAACTGACCAGTTGCATTTGTCTTCCTTCATTATAGACAGAACTCTAATGGTACCCTGGGTAATGAAATATAAGCCAGCACAGTATAATATGAAGCCCAGGGACATAACGCTACAGATGGAGGCTGATTACACCCCTCTCTTTTTCTCCTCTCCCCAGGTCCTTCTAGCCTCTTCCCATCGAAGTTCACTCTTCTGAGACAGACTGCTAGCCTGGTGTTAGCCTCAGTGCAGCTGTCTACAGTCTGGGTCATGTCCAAGGCCTACCAGTTCCTCTCTTCATGGAGCCTCAACAAGTTCCTGCTCATCACACAGGGGGACCTACATGTAGGTCACTCCTTTATCTCAACCAGAAGGCTAACGGGTCATTCCATGTCAGATCTCCCGTTTCTTTACAATAGCTTCAGCCTGACAATCACCGACTTGCCTGGATGTTTTGTAGCATAAAATATGGATATTTATAAAGATGTTTGTGAAAGCTGAGCTCAGTAGATATCAAGGACTCTCCATGATCAAGTTTTCCAAAATTGCGTGTTGACTCATTTTCACATTCTTTTTATTTAAATTTGAGACTGTTTGAATGACAATGTCTCAGGAACTAATAAAAAAAAAAGTCTGAGATGTCCACAATTATGCTCATCATGCCATCGACAAGTAGATCAAATATCGCTGATTATGGGTTGGCTGAATTATAAATTAACTTTATGTATTTAAGTTGTTGAAGGAAGAGAATTACTTACAGAAGAAGTCTGTCCTGATGCAGACGGGATCAGAAATGTGCAGCACAGCGAGCTGGCAGAGTGTTTATGACCCTTTGTAGACGTGTTTCTGTCATTCACAGAGTAATGTAGTGTTCATTAAGTCTTTACATTTAGCAACGTTACCGTGACCAAAGCCTGCAACAAACTGACCCTATTAACAACATTAAAGACATTCAAGTAAAGAACAAAAGCAATTCTGACTCCATAGTGTGATGCCTTGGAGTTGTCCAGTCCTGATCTACTGCTGCTCTACTTGTCTGGACTCAGGTCTGAAATCCAGTTGTTATCAGTTTAAGTGTTTTTGTTCTTTGTCTCTGTAGATGCTGAGGGAGTCCTTAGAGACGATTGTGCACCAGACGAAGCACCTGGTGATGAACTTAGACAGCGACCACTGTTCCACCCTCTGTCATCATAACCAGCTGCTGCTGGGGCAGCAGACTGAAACTCTGGACAGAACCGTGTCCGAGCTGCAGGTAGCCTGTCTTTGTTCTCTGACAGCTACATTAGAAAGCCCATTGATTACCATGTCTTTCTTACATAGTCATATAAACTGTGCTTCAGAGGCTGATACACCAATATTTAGGATCAGCAGCACACTAGCGGTGCTTACAGCTGTTCAGAGCCACAGGTGATGGTCCCATTCCTAATGAAAACAGGCAAAACAATGATCTGGACCTGTTTCTCATGATGGAAGAAGGAACTGCTGAGACAATTCATGACAGATTTCACAGTCAGCCCAGCCAGTAACAGCCGCCTGTAACTTTAATCCTGAGCGGCAGGAATAAGGATCTGTTGCCACCTCCAATGTTCTGGACTTCAGGGACAGAATTCCAGACTTGTCATCCAACTGCTGTTACAGCCTCATGGCTAAGATGCACAGCAGATAACCACTACATAAAAGTTTAGTTCCTGGCCATCCAGTCCTTGATCTCATGGCATCACCCCCACCCCAAAACAGTTTTGAATAAGTTCCCTTTCTCTCATCCTGACTGCGTGGATGTGGCGTAATGCAAACACAGACTGTCCATGTAATGTGATTGTAACACTGTTGCTCTGTGTCAACGTCCATCAGAGCTTCTCCTCTCTGGTGCTGAACACCTTCTCCAGTGACTGTAAGCGGATGTCAGGGGAGATCTTCGAGCGGACCATGCCTTCTGCTGTACACTGGAGACCCAGCCACAGGGCAGGTACTGATGTCTGACTGTTGATAATAGACAGCATATTAGATCATCTCAACCAACAGACACTGCTGGTCCACAAGTTAATGTTAGTATGGAGCTGGCATTCCTCAAACTCACAGACAACATTCATCAGTGTGCTGAGATCTTGAGTCTTTTCCTTTAACATTAAGAAAGTAGAATTTCACTGAATTTCTACAACAGAGGTGAAGAGAGCAAAGTTAGTACGAAACTTAGAGCCACAACAGCCACATTCAGTGGAAATGGACCAGTTTTATTGCAATGAAATTAAATTGTGTCATATAGTCAATTCTGAAATTGTTCATACCCCTGGCAAATTTTGACTTAAAGTTACTTGTATTCAACCAGCAAGTTGTTGTTTTTTTAATGGAAATGACACAGACTTCTCCCAAAAGATAATAAGATGATGTACAAAAGGCATCATTGTGAAAAAAATAAAAATAAAAAATTCTCAGTTTATATGTGGGGCTGCAAGGTGGCACAGTTGGTAGCACTGTTGCCTCGCAGCAAGAAGGTTGCCGGTTCGCGTCCCGGTGGGGGCACCGGAATCTTTCTGCGTGGAGTTTGCATGTTCTCCCCATGCAACGTGGGTTCTCTCCGGGTTCTCCGGCTTCCTCCCACACAGTCCAAAAACATGTTGAGGTTAATTGGTGATTCTAAATTGTCCGTAGGTGTGAATGTGAGTGTGCTTGGTTGTCTGTCAATAACTGTAGCCCTGCGATGGACTGGCGACCTGTCCAGGGTGTCCCCTGCCTTCGCCCTAAGTCGGCTGGGATAGGCTCCAGCCCCCCCGCGACCCTAATGAGGATTAAGCGCGGTGTATAGAAAATGGATGGATGGACAGTTTATATGTACTTTTGGACAACAAGTGACATGTCCAAAATTATTCGTACCCCTTGCAAACTGTCATAGTCTCTGGGAAAATCCAGGGTTCTTTACCATTCCAAAGAGTAAAAGATGTTCTAAAGCAACCTAATTACCCTGGTTAATTGGGAACAGCTGTTTTAATCAACTCAACAGGTGAAAGACAGCAGCTTTCTGCAGCTGGTTTGTGGACAGTCATGGCTAAGACAAAGGAGCTCACTGAGGACCTGCGGCTGCGCATTATGACTGCTCACAAGTCACTAGTCTAAATGTCTTCAAGTTCCAGTGGCTTTAGTGCAAAGTATTATTCGTGTCAAGTGTCATCTGCATAGCAGTGGAAATGTATGCAGTGCTTGCTAATGATACTGCCTAAGGGGAGCATGTACAAGGTAAATAATATAGGTCCTAACACAGAGCCCTGTGGAACTCCATAACTAACTCTGCTGTGGGTGGAAGAATCATTATTAACATGAGCAAGCTGGAATCTGTCTGATAAATATAATTTAAACCAGCTTAGTGCAGTTCCTTTAAGCCCAATTAAACATTCCAGTCTCTGCTGTGATCCACTGGATCAGATGCAGCACTGAGATCCAGCAGAACCAGTATAGAAACTAGTCCACTGTCTGAAGCCAAAAGAAGATTAGTGACCCTCACCAGTGCTGTCTCTGTACTTTAATAAAATCTAAAACCTGACTGAAACTCTTCAGACAAACCATTTCTATCCAGATAATCACACAAGTGGCTGCAACAACTTTTTTTTGTTTTTACCTGTGCTTAGTAATTGTGCATGTCCCTGTTGGTGTGCAGGTTTTCCCAGCAGTCCCAGTGAGTATGCATCTCTGGCAGCTCAAACTGTGATTGGTCAGGTTCTAGAAGGTGTAGCACCACTGTCTGATGATGCTCGAGTCCAAGCACTGAGCATAACGATGACAGCTTTCATGGAGGCTTGGATGGAACACATCCTGAAACAGAAGATCAAATTCAGGTATGCTTCTGGTTATCGCAGTAAAACACTGCTTTCACTCCACCAAAAGACTGAAGACACCATTTAAAACTAAAGGTGCCAAAAAGTAATGTTTGCATGGAATGAGTTTATTTTTAAATTAACATCTCAAGAGAACTTTTAATGAATGTTTCATGATTTAGTCTCCGCCATCAGGACACACAGAGTATTAGAATATAGAATAAAGTTGAAAGTATAGGATGTAGTATACAGACCTCTGAGCAGTGTTGTGTTGTGTCTTGTCCTCAGTGTACAAGGAGCTCTTCAGCTGAAACAAGACTTTGATTCTATCAGGGAGATGATCCAGTCAGACAAGTATGGGCTGTCTACTGAACTCCACCAACGCCTGCTCAGCCTCCGGTATTATACTCTGTGTTCTGTTCTGCCTCTTTACTAACTATTCAGAGTAAACTTTGTAATGTGGTTTCAGTTAACTGACACCAGACCCTGTATTGAATATGTAGGCGTTGAACTATCAGTGTTCAAGCGAAACTGGAAACTTTTACAGCTGTACAAGATACTGCTTTAGTGGGTTAGCCCCAAATACAACTGCAGAAATATGAAACAAGAACCACCGTAAAGCACTTATTAATGTTGTGTTTATAAATGACTTTCATCTGACTGACCTGTTGATACAGCTCAACATGATATCCATCTAATCTGGAAACTTGAAGGTTCAGAACCATTTTAACATCTTTGTTGATCATGTTCCACCACTGTTGGTAGGAATGTTAGCGAATTGATGTTTCTCTTTGTCTTCAGGGTTTTCCAGCAGGTGGACTCAGCGGTGGTGTGTCTGCTGCAGCAGCCCCAGGCGAAGCCCTACCTGCAGCCCAGACCCTGGGAGCCGTTCACTCGCTGCTGTGAGTGTCATTGGCCAGTCAGGACAGGAGCCATGTTTACATTCTTGAACTTAAAATCTGAAAAAAAACATCTACAAGCATGATCATGGAAAGTAGACTTTGGCAAATAGCAAGTCAGATGTGGCCCGTCTTTGACACTCAAACAAATCTATTTTTTCTCTCTGTTGTGGCTCATTGATGGTAGTTTCTGAACAAAATAGATGAAAACCACTGTCCATGTTTCTGGGGATTATCCTTGTGGGGATGAGGACAGAGGTCCTGGAAAGACAAACTGCTTTTCAAAAGTCATTTAAATGGCTGCTGCACAGTCCAGGACTTGTACATGCCGTCCACCGGAGCTTAGAACACTCAGTCAACAGTAGTTTACAGATTGTGACAAACAGATCTCCCTCCGCTGATGTTTGGAGACCACATGCAGTACATGGCAGAAACTATTTCTGTGTATTTGGCTTTGTTAGAAACAGGTCTTTTCTCATTTCATAGTTCACTGTCCAGCTGCATCAGTTTCTCCTGCAAAAACCTTAAACTTCACAAGACTTCCAGCTGCACTAAGGCACTAAGAGTTCTGGCTGTGGGCTTCAAAGCAGCTTTGTCAAGCAGCTGTGTCCATTGACCTGAAATGTAATGATGGAGTTTGTTACAGACTTCTGTATGTCCTACCAAACAACTGCTTCTGTTTCTATCACCTCTGTAGTTCCCATCACTAGTGTTCATTATGCAAGCATTGAGGTATAGAATAAATCAGACTACATGCAGTTGTTACCACCAGTAAAGTATCAACACCACATCTGGTTTTACTTCCATCCATCTCACGTTGCCTACTTATGTGTCAAATAACAAATATATTGCTGTAAAAAGTTAAGTTCAACTGTTTTTAAGGGTGAATAATTCAATTGAAGCATATGGCAGTGAAAAGACTGAGCAGTACAATTTAAGGTAGGTCAATTAAATCCATCCATCCATCCATCATCTATACACCACTTAATCCTCACTAGGGTCATGGGGGGCTGGAGTCTATCCCAAAGTCAGAAGTTTACATCCATCTCCTTAGTATCTGGTAGCATTGCCTTTAAACTGTATGACTTGGGTCAAACATTTTGGGTTTCCTTCCACAAGCTTCTCATAACAGTCTGATGAGATCCCATTCCTCCTGACAGAACTGGTGGAACTGAGTCAGGTTTTTTTGGCCTCCTTGCTCCACATGCCTTTTCAGCTCTGGCCACTAATGTTCTCCAGGACTGAGATCAGGGCTTTGTGATGGCCACTCCACAACACTGACTTTGTTGTCCTGAAGCCTCTCTGTAACTAATCTGGCATTATGCTGAGGGTCATTGTCCATCTGAAGACCCATTAGTGCCCAAGCTTTAACTTCCTGCTGATGTCTTGAGATGTTGCTTCAATATTTCCACATAATGTTCTATCTATTCTGTGAAGTGCACCAGTCCCTCCTGCAGCAGAACACCCCCACAGCATAATGCTGCCACCCCCGTGCTTCACAGTTGGGATGGTGTTGTCAGGGTTGCAAGCTTCCCCATTTTTCCTCCAAATGTAACGATGGCTATTAAGGACAAACAGTTCAGGTTTAGTTCCATCAGACCACAGGACATGTCTCCACTAATGAAGCTCTTCGTCCCTGTGTGCGTTTACAAACTGTAATCTGTCTTTTCTATGTTTCTTCTGGAGTAATGTCTTCTTCCTCTCTGAGCAGCCTTTCAGCCCATGTCGGTACAGGACTGGTTTCACTGTGGATAATGATTCTCTCTGACCAGCTTCAGCAGCATCTTCACAAGGTCTTTAGCTTCTGTTCTGGGGTTGATACACACATTTCAACCAAAACACTTCATCTCTAGACACAGAACCCATTTCCTTCCTAAGCGCTATGATTGCTGGACATTCCCATGGTGTTTATACTTTATATAACTGTTTGAACAGATGAACGTGGAACCTTCAGGCATCTGGACATTGTACCCAAGAATGAACCAGACTTGTGGAGGTCCACAGTTCTCTTCCTGATATCTTGACTGGTTTCTTTAGATGTTCCATGTTGTCACCAAAGGAAGCAGTGTGTTTGAGGTGTGCCTTAAAATACATCCACAGGTGTGCCTCCAGTTAATTCAGATGTTGTCAATTAACCAATCAGAAGCTTCCAAAGCCATGACATCATCATCTGGGCTTTCCCAAATAGTCTGAAGGCATCTTCGTGGATGTAGACTTCTGACTTTGAAGAATGTCATAAAACATTCTCTCTCTCTCATTATTCTGGTGTTTAGCAAATAGAAATAATGTTGGTAATCCTGACTGACCTGAAACAGGAAAAGGTTAGTCTGATTTAATGTCAGATAGTGAGAAAGGAAAGGTTTTTATGTCTTTTTATACAGTGTAGGTAAACTTCTGGTTTCAACTCTTTGTAGCACAGCTTACATCATATGTCAGCTCACAGAGCTTAACATAGTGGGGTGAAGACCTTATAACTTTAAACAGAATACCCAACAATCCAAAGTTGTCTTGAGACTCCCTCTGAGCAGGCGGTCGGCAGCGGTGGGAAGAAACTGGAAAGGGTTTACTGTACTAACTGGTTTAATTAAAATAAAATGTGAAGAGAGGCCAGTGGTAGTAACCTGTTTGTGTGACTCTTCAGGTCCGGCTAACAGCAGCAGGGACAGCATCGATGCTTCAGTGTCAGGCAGCATCACCAACCTGAGGTGTGTGGAGGGTGAAGACGTGACGCAATCTGATCCCTCGCTGGTGACCACTCACCTCCCTCCAGTGGACCCGTCCACCCCCACAGAGCCCTACCTTGCTCCAAGGTACATTTCTACAATGTCCAGGCAGTGATTACTTGGTGAAGCTTTAGGATGGAACGACTGTCAGTTTATCTCCTTAAGGTAGCAGGTGTGATGGATTCAATACTAAGAAGTGTACTGTCTTTGTTTTGGGCTCGTAGTTTAGCGCTCGGTGCTGCTCAGCAGGAGTGGTTGGACCTGAGGATCCAGAGTAGTGCTCGTCGCTGGAGACTGCCGGGACTGCAGTGTGTCTCCAAGTCTGAACCCTGAATACACCCACTTCACACCAACCTGTCTGCTTCTTCACTTTAGTGTCAACAAAACATTCATGCAAATATCTACTGAAAAGGTTACCAGTGTTTTATTGTTGTTACTTTTGCACATAAGAATGTGATCGCTGTGGATATTACATTTGAATATGGTCAAACCTATTTATTAATCAATGTAAATATTTGTATTATCAAACATATTTATTTTACCATTTGTATACAGACATATTTTTATAATTCTGAATAAAACTATGTTTTATTAATATATTTAACTTTGTGATTGCGTTTCATATGTGAACATGGTACATTCTGTATGTAGGTGTATGACAAAGGATTTGTCTGTCAGTGGTCAACAGAAAATGCAGCACAATAACAGTTTTGGAAATCCTTAGCTCATTGACAGGATTTAGAGGAATTAAAGTCTCAGCTTTATGCCAGAACTGCTATATTGTTAGGGTTAGGGTTAGGTTTTTAAGGTAAGATGAAGCTGGTCATTGAGAGTTTTATATGTTAAAGCAGGATTTTAAAGTCTATCCTGGATTTTACAGGGAGCCAATGAAAAGAAGCCAATACAGGAGAAAGATGATCTCTGTTACTGGTTCCATTTTGGATCAGCTGAAGGTTTTTGAGAGAGTTATTGGGACATCCTGATAATAAAGAATTACAATAGTCCAGTCTAGAAGTTATAAATGCATGGACTAGAGTTTCTCAGCATCACTCTGAGACAGGATGTTCCTGATTTTTACAATATTACATAGATGAAAAAAGGCTGTCCTACAGAGTTGTTTTATATGGCTATTGAATGACATGTCCTGGTCAAAAATACCTCCAAGGTTTTTACTGTAGAACTGGAGGCCAAGGCGATGCCATCTAGAGTAGCTATCTGGTTCGAGAGTGTGTTTCTGAGGTGTTTAGGGCCAAATACAATAACCTCAGTTTGTCTGAATTTAAACGAAGGAAGTTGCAGGTCATCCAGGCCTTTATGTCCTTCAGACATGTTGGAGCCTGACCAACTGATTGGTTTCACTTAGCTTCATAGATAAATATAGCTGGGTGTCGTCTGCATAACAGTGAAAATTACTGAAACAATGAAAAAATTAACTGTTGTGAGTGGAAGACAGTCATCAACATGAACAAACTGGAATCCGTCTGATAAACATGATTTAAACCAGTTTAGTGCAGTTCCTTTAAGCCCAGTGACGTGTTCCAATCTCTGTAGTAAGATGCTGTGATCATCTTCTGATGGAGAGGAGGGTAGATCATGTTTAGCTAGCTGGCCTACAATAACGTCAGCACTTCCACATCCTCTGATTGGATGGTCAGAGAGCTGAGCCAAAGCTAGCGGTTCCCGTCTGTAGCGCCCTGCACAAGTTAAAACTTTCACTTAAAAGTATTGCTTTTTTTTTTTTTTTTTAAGTTAAGCGAGCGAACATTCTCAGCCCTACAGCGAATTAAACCTTACGTCAGAAGCACGACTGGACAGACCGACTGTCAGCATCAGCCTCCATGGAGATAGAACAGGACTGATTGTTGGATTAGCTGCTCCACAGAGTGACTAAACTGTTTATGAGGAAAGAAAGGAGGATTGAGTTGTGTTCAAACCATCACAGGTTTGGTGAGTAAAATATATATATTTGTCCTTTTATTGGGCTGTCACTGATGCTCCTGTTGGATGTGATGCATGTGGTGCAGCTGAGGCTGCAGTGAAAGGAGACTTGTTGAATGGTTTAACTGGGTTTCTTGCTTTAGTGATGCCATTCATTCATTCTGGCTACATGAGATCCCTGTCTGCGGTGCAACATCCTGTTATGCTGCCTTTCTGCATAATGCTGATGGTTTCTAAAGCCGTGGCGTCATAACAACGGTGTTCAGAGGTGTTTGATTCAGGGAGGATTCAATTCAATTCAATTCAATTTTATTTGTATAGCGCATATTTACAACAACAAGTCATCTCACAGCGCTTCACAAAGGCAGAGACAGAAACACCCAACAATCCAAAACATTTGGATTCCCTATAAGCTTCAGCAGTCCGCAACAGTGGGAAGGAACCGAAAACCCCCGCAGGGGAAAAAAAACCTCCGACAGAACCAGGCTCAGGGAGGGACGGCCATCTGCCTTGACCGGTTGGGTGAGAGTGGGATGAATTATACAATTTAGTTTATAGTTAAACAAGTTATTAGAATTGATTGTCCTTTTGTAACAGGAGGCATCATGGTGGGGCAGCAGGATACAGAAGGTGAGGCCAGTGGATGCCACTGAAGGCCCAGGAGGAAAATGCACAGGCCACCACTGGATTACAAGTAGTGGATGAAAGGCTGTCACAGTGCCCCAGGAGCAAGTTTTTGTCCTTGAGTCACAAAACAAGCAAAGTTTGAGCCAACTATGGTATCAAGACAACCTGATTGCCATTACATGCACCACAGATGTCCTGAGACAGGAAAACACACCACAGGACACTTTCTGTATATATTGTCAAGGCAGGAAACAATGGAGCATTTTCTGATGACATGTAGGAGGGCACAGCAGAAAGACCTGGAGGACAGTAGGGACAGAGGCCACTGTAGGGATACATAGAGGTTTGGAAGCAACAACCTGAATCTGAGCAAGTACAGGACAGAAGGACCTGACACTAAATCCAGAAGACAGGAAGAAGCAGAACAAGATGGCTGTCAAGAATGGACTGGAGTCTGTATAAAGAGCTCAGAAATTATTATTTAAACCAGCGGTCCCCAACCATTGGGCCGTGGACCGGTACCAGGCTGTGGGCCATTTGGTACGAGGCCTCACAGAAAGAAAATCCCCCCTCCATCCAACAGTCGAGGCAGATGGCCTCCTTCCTCCTTGAGCCTGGTTCTGTCTGAGGTTTTTTCCCCCCTCCCTCTGGGGGGGTTTGGTTCCTTCCCACCGTTGCCAACCACCTGCTCAGAGGGAGTCCAAAAGCTACTTTGGATTGTTGGGTTCTCTGTTTAAACCTGTAAGGTCTATACCTGACTTTGTATTGACATGTCTAGTAAACTGCGCTATACAAATAAAATTTAAAATTGAAATTGAATAAATTTATTTTTTTAATTTTTAATGTTATTTCCGGCGGAGTCTGCAGGGAGATTTATTTTGAAAAATGACTGTCAGTTCTCACATCCGGCCTCTAAACGCAGCCGCCAGTCTGACTGCTGTCGCCATGAATACACAGTACTAAACACATTAGCAATAAAAAGTACTTTTATTCGTTTGGGACACTTTTTAACACAACAAACCCGATTGTTATTGTTGTGTCCGTCGAACCCGGTCCGGTCAGCAGCTGGTGTCGCTAGAGAGTCGACAGGTGGCAGCACCGAGCCGCCGACACGAGCAAGACGAAGAAGAACAAAAACAAGAAGAAGAAGAAGAAGAAGAAGAGTTGAACGCGGACCCGTCAACACGCAGCTGCGGTTTGTTTCCGTGAACCCAAACACAGAATGGAGAACCCGGAGCTGTCCTTCACTCTGGCCTACGTCGTGTTCTCGCTCTGCTTCGTGTTCACCCCCAACGAGTTCCGCTCGGCCGGGCTCACCGTCCAGAACCTGTTCTCCTCCTGGCTGGGCAGCGAGGACGTAGGCTTCATCCAGTACCACGTCAGGAGGAGCAGCCTGACGGTCCTGATCCACTCCGCGCTGCCCCTAGGTCAGTGTGTGTGTGTGTGTGTGTGTGTGTGTGTGTGTGTGTGTGTGTGTGTGTGTGTGTGTGTGTGTCTGTGTGTGTGTGTGTCTGTGTCTCAGCCTGTTTATCAGCAGCAGCCTTTGTGTTGCTGGAGTCCATCAGCTACACCTTGACCCTCAATAGGAGGGCGGAGTCTATCCCAGCTGACTCAGGGTTCACCTGGACAGGTCACCAGTCTATCACAGGGCTACACTTAGAGACAGACAACCAAGCACACTCACATTCACACCTACGGACAATTTAGAATCACCAATTAACCTCAGCATGTTTCTGGACTGTGGGAGGAAGCTGGAGAACCCGGAGAGAACCCACGCTGCATGGGGAGAACATGGAGACTCCACGCAGAAAGATCCCGGGTGTCCTCACCGGCGAAAAAAAAACATACCACGAATTGCTACCATAAGTCAAAGCAGACCATTCCTGATGGAGTTGCAAGTTTGCTGTATAACTTGTATAGGCTTTCTCACAGCTGCAGTACAAGTCAGGCAACGAAAAGCGCTCTGGAAGAATGCAGAAGAATCAGCCCGAGGAATAGTAATACGTGAGCTTCAGTGCTTATGCATTGGCACACTTACTTTGAAAAGAACTTACACAGTAAATAGCCATCTGCTTTAGTGTATGGGACCACTAGGTAAGACTACAAGCAGCCCGATGACTCTGTAGTCATGGAGAGGAACACCAGACCTTCTAGCTGTGAGACGACAGTGCTAACAACCACTCTGCGTCTTTTTTATTTTTTTAATTTCACTTTTAAATCCCACGTTTGTATTTTGACCCTGAGGTTCGTTCCACACATGTTCTTGTTGCAGAAACAGTGCCATACTCCCACAGACACACACATATTGGAGGTTGGTGACCATTCCTGGTTGGTCATCCTGAAGCCACATCAGATCATGTTGTGTGATCGGTGTGTGACCAGTTTGTGAGTCTGTGTGTAGCTGATGTTGTGTTCATCTCTCCAGGTTACTACTTGGGAATGTGCATCGCTGCTCCAGAGAAGAACCTGGGATACGTCCACCAGGTCAGCCTCCCTCTGGACACCACACACCCCCATGTTGCCTGTTTACCTCCCCAGATTCATAGTAGGTCAGCGTCACTCTGTTGAGGAGCTGAGCAGAGATAGCTGGTCAGGGTTACATCCATCCTACATGTGGATGGTGCAGAACATCAGCTCAGCATTCAGGGATATAAACCAAGTGAACAGACCTCAGAAACATGTGTAGCTCTATGAACCAGCTGCTCTAGATGTCTAGATGGACAGAATAGTGTTGGATCCTCTCATTACCGCTCCTCCATCTGAACAGGGCTCTGGGTTTAGTCCATTCCCATCAAGGTGGATGGAACACAGTTTAGACTCGGAGGTCTTCTTGCTTCTGCTGTTGGACTTGAAGTGAATTGATCAGTCGTCTGTTCATTTAAAAAGAGGAGAAAGGAATTAAAGTTGTGTCATCACGCTCTCATGGCTCGCTGCCCCACGCCTCACCATCTTCAGTCTGACAGGTTTCTGATCCAGGTGACCATGTGTAAAGCCTGGGTTCACAGGTAACACTGGTCTCTGAGTTAAAGATTCTCATGTTGATTTTGTGTCATTTTCTTCCTTTGTGGAGCAATGTCTGAAGGGACATCATGTGACAAATAATTGAGCTAAAATATGTGTTGAAATGTTTGTAGATAACTGATTGTAGGCTCATGACGTGTACATGTGGTCTCCAGTGTCCCAGACCAGTCTATTCTAGTCCACCTAACATTACACCTTTATGTTCACCAGAGAAGGCTGAACTTTCCTGTGACTGGCACCAACAGAATTGTATTTATGTAATAATCTGAAGCACTATGAGTTGAAAACCCTGATGTGTCTTTCAGCCCAGTAACGGTGCTGTGTGACTCTTCCAGTGGGGGCACTACTGGACTGGTTCCAACTCAATGCGTGTTCAGATAAAGGCCATAGATGTAAAACGTGTTATTCAGTCATGTTTCCTCATAAGCATGCCTCTGACTGGCACCATACTACACTTCAAGGCTCCTATTGGTGCCGGTCACAGGCAAAATCAGCCTCTTACGGTGAACAGCAAAGGCTTAGTGGTTTGTGGAGTATGGGAGTAGAAACATGGAGGTTTCTGACTGTTAAGGACCACATGGACCCATCAGTGAGCCTCCAACATGTCAGGACTCCAGCTCCAGCATTATATGACCCAAACTGTCTCTTCAGACATTGCTCCACAGAGTTCAATTCAATTCAATTCAATTTTATTTGTATAGTGCATATTTACAACAACAGTCATCTCATTCAATTCAATTCAATTCAATTTTATTTGTATAGCGCATATTTACAACAACAAGTCATCTCATAGCACTTCACAAAGGCAGAAACAGAAACACCCAACAATCCAAAACATCTGGATTCCCTATAAGCTTCAGCAGTCCGCAACAGTGGGAAGGAACCGAAAACCCCCACAGGGGAAAAAAAACCTCCGACAGAACCAGGCTCAGGGAGGGACGGCCATCCGCCTCGACCAGTTGGGTGAGAGTGGGATGAATTATACAATTTAGTTTACAGTTAAACAAGTTATTAGAATTTATTGTCCTTTTGTAACAGGAGGCATCATGGTGGGGGCAGCAGGATTCAGAAGGTGAGGCCAGCGGCTGTAATTCAGGAGCTCCAGATCCAGAGACATCCACAGAGAGAGCAGGCGCAGGAGAACCTCGGGGGGAGTCACAGAGTTAGTCATATGTAATGGTGATAGGCAATTACAGAAACATATACATATGTATATATATAAAGAGGAGAGGAGAGAAGCCCAGTGCATCATGGGAATCCCCCGGCAGTCTAAACCTATAGCAGCATCACTAAGGGACAGCTCAGATGACTCCCAGCAGCCCTAACTATGGGCTTTATCAAAAAGGAACGTTTTTAACCTAATCTTAAAGGTAGAGAGGGTGTCTGCCTCCCGAACCCAAACTGGGAGCTGATTCCATAAGACAGGAGCCTGATAACTGAAGGCTCTGCCTCCCATTCTGCTTCTAGAGTGGCACCAAGAAAACAAAAGTCTTTAGTTTTATTTTGAACTTAGACTGTTAATGACCCCAGATGTTATGTTTTACTTCATACATGCACAGAAACAAATCTGACAAATATAAGATGGTCAGGTAGGTGTAAACTGTTGTTTAATATTTGGGGAGTTGAGGGGGATCGACCCTGATGCCAACTTCACACTTTCAGTGTGGGATTATTTAATGGATGAGGAGGTATGAATGTGTAGCTCTGACCCACAGAGATGAGCTGTTCAGGTGAAGCCAGTGAGGGATCTCAGCTTTATGTGCTGTTGTGTTCCATCAGGTGAGTGACAGCTGGAGAACCTTTCTCCTGCTCTCCCTCTGCCTCCAGTTGGCCAGCTGGACGCTGGTCATCTACTGGTCCCGCCGCCGCTGGCACAACCACCCCATCAGCCAGGTGCTTCAGGCCCACGTCCGGCCTCCTCAGTCCAGCTGGGGCTCCGTGGCCACCAACATCAACACCGAGTTCAGACGCATCGATAAGTTCGCCTCAGGGGCGCCGGGAGCCAGAGTTATTGTGACCGACAGCTGGGTGCTGAAGGTGAGTTCGAGCAAAGCTCACAAAGAAGAACTGGGTTTGTGTCCAGAATGTACGCCCACATTCAGCTGTTTGTGGAGAATAAGTGTTGAGACAAACATCAGGACCAACAGTGTGCAGTCTCCCCTACAGCAGACTGTTCCCATTAGGGCTGGTGTTTCCTGCTGAGTGAAGATGAACCATGAAGCTACAGTTAGCATGTGAAGATCCCCAAAGGTTTTATGTTAGACATCCAAACACGCAGTCTGCTGAGGAAACTGTGACGACATGGACAGCTTTGCATGACCAAATCAAAAGACATGACCCCTACTGGTGGACATACAACCATGTCTCTGTCACACTGTATTTAGTTTTCAGTCTGTTTCTTTCTTTAATAAACATCCCAGAAGTACAGTCCCTGTGATTACATTGTCAGAAGAACCTGCCCGTTTATGGACCAGACTCAAGTAACAACTAGCAACATCCAATGTGCTTTCAGGGACACGTGATAGGAAATGAAACCCCATGACTCCGAGTTTTATTTATTAATGAAGAGTTAGTATCACTGTGTTCTGATCATGTTGGAAAATCAGTTTTTATTAATATTTATTTCCAAAATAACAGAAAACTGTCCTTTAAGATCGTCTTCTTCTAAAATAAAACATAAAAAACTGCAACTATTCTGTTTCTCATTAAAACCCTGCCATGAGGGGACTGCCAGGCCTCAGGGTGAGGACCTGAGTACTGAGGTGAGTGTTTTCTGCTTTACAGGTTGTCACAAAAGCACCTTGATCACCTGGAAACACTCAGGTCACCTGTAGGAACAGATATACCCTCATGGAAGACGTTCTGCTGCCTACAGCTGCCTCAGACCCTTTACACAGTAATAGAAGTACTACTAAATAGTGTTATACATGCTGAAAAATAAATGTACACTTCACATCAAAACCACTGTGGGACATCATCCTACACACATAAAGACACACTTGAATAAAGGTGAGGGACAGATGTAGCCGAGCAGGTCCTACTCAGCGCGTGGTGTTGAGACTGCAGACCCTTTACCAGCTCTGTGGAGTTTACAGTCTGCTGTGCTGCTTCTGAAGAGTCGGTGCAGCTACGATGTGATTGTGATGAACATGTACAAGAGCAGAACAGAACAAGCTGCATTTCAAGTCGATTAAAACATTTCAGTGGAAACTCTGGTCCAGTGCACTTCACTAAACATGTTCAGCTGTCCGACCTTCATCAGGTTGTGTGCTGCTTTTTGTTTTTAAGGTTTTGTAAATATGGCAAAAGACAAGAAAAGCATCTACAGAGCTTAACAAATGTATCAGAGCAGCTGGCATAAAAACAAGAAAACATAAATACTTCTTTCAAAAACTTGTTTAAAACTAAAGATGCTGTTATTTATTTGGCCAATAACCTGAACCACCTAACTAGTCCCTTTACACCCATAGCAACCAACCTTCATATCTCCTACGGCCTCCTTGGGCCTTGATAACAGCTGCTTCTTGCTGCCAGTGTTTCTATGAACTCTACAACAGTCTCTCTGGTGTTACTGAGCTCCACATAGTTTCTAGATGTTCCCACATACCTGCTTTAGATAAAACTTTTGTGCGATCAATCCTTGAAAGTACGACATCCCAAATGTGTTCAATAGGGTTCAGATCCAGACTCTGACTTGGCCGGTCCATCAGTTCCAGAACTCCAGATTCCTTCTTCTGGGTCAGATGGTCTCTGCACAGCTTTGAAGTCTGCTGGACTTGTTGGTGTATGAACCCACGACCAATCAGAAATGATTACTAAGAAATGACCACAGCCTCCACAGCATTCACAGTGACCATGGCGGTCACGGTGACCACAGCGTCCACTGCGTTCACGGCGACCACAGCGTCCACTGCGTTCACGGTGACCACAGCGTCCACTGCGTTCACAGCGACCACGACGTCCGCTGCGTTCACGGCGACCATGGCATCCACAGCGTCCCCTGCGTTCACGGCGTTCAGTGCGACCACAGCGTTCACAGCGACCACAGCTTCCACGGCTTTCACAGCAACCACAGCGTCCGCAGCATTCACAGAGTCCACGGCTTTCACAGCATCCACAGAATCCACAGCTTTCATAGCGTCCACAGCATCCACAGAGTCCACGGCTTTCACAGCGTCCACAGCGTTCACGGCGACCACAGCGTCCACGGCTTTCACAGCGACCACGGCGACTACAGCTTTCACAGTGTCCACAACGTTCACAGCGTCCAGACAGATTCAAATCATTTCACACAACATCAATGTTTCTGTTTATTCAAACTTGGAGCAAATAAATCAAGTTCACGGCACATTATGTCACTTTCTCTTCACATACACATAACAGTTCTGTAGATACTTGTCAGTCTGATGTGTAGAAGCTCTGTGGCGCTGAGTGGAACCACAGTGTGTATACGGCTTCCAGAACAACCCAATTTGGTTCTGTATGTATTCATGTCGTACACAGTGATCATGTAAAGAACGTGTCTGGTGCTGTTTGTCTTTGTTCTTAACAAGAAGTCCATCCTTCATCCTTGTGTTTGTGGACTGCTAGGTGACCACCTACCACATCTACATGGCCCTACAGAGTGAATGTCATGTAACCGTGACAGACTCTAGACAGCACCAGCTGAGTCCAGACTCCGCCTCCCCCACAGAGATCCTGACCCTGAGAGTGGACAGCATCAATCCTGCTGTCAGACCCTTCAACATCAGGTGTGTGTTCAGCATGTTTTCAAGTTGCTTGTCTGTCTGTTCATATGTACAACCTCTCACCTGATGGCCTCCTTCCCTGAGCCTGGTTTCTTTCTCCTCCCTATTTGGGTTTTTGGTTCCTTCAACCATTGCCAACCACTTGCTCAGTGAAAGTCCAAAGGCTACTTTGGATTGTTGGGTTCTCTGTTTAAATCTGTAAAGTCTATACCAGGGGTCAACAACCTTCAACACTCAAAGATCCATTTGGACCCGTTTCCCACTGAACAGAAAACACCGGGAGCCACAAAACCCTTCTGACATCTAACATGAAGATAACATTGCATATATGGTTTTTACCTTTATGCTATGTATAAAAACTATAGTGTTGCATTTATGAAACCAATGAACCGCTGCAGAGGAAACAACATTTTATTTCTCCAACAAAAACATTTTGAACTCTGAAAAAACCAGATGCTGGGTTGAAAGTTACTTTCAAATAAAATACTCAATGTCTGCTTGAATCCTCCTCATATTTATGAAATAAAAAGCCGATCTTAAATCCTTCACCTGCAGCAAAGTAAACCAGTGTCTGGTTGTCCTGCTGCCTCCAGCTGGACTGCTGACCAGACTGCTGACCGCCTGTGAGCACATTGGGACGGGAGGAGCTCATAGCAGCATCGGTGCTCACTGAGGACAGGAACAACACAATGATACGTGTTTTCACGTCAGAGTCTCCAAAACACCAGAAAGAGTCGCTAGATTGGTCGCTAGTCGCTTTTCACAAAAAAAGTCACCAAGAGGATTTGGAAAGTCGGCAGATTTATCCAGAAAGTCACCAGGCTGGCAGCACTGCTCGTGCCGGTAGGTGTCGCACATCGGAGGTTGTGATGCATATTTAGAGCGACAAAAAGTTAAACACGTTTTATTTTAATGTTACAAGGTCATCTTAATCTTCAAATTTAGAATTACATTTTAAAAACTAAAATAAAATAAAATAAAATAAATTAAATACTTATTATTTATTTTCCAAAGCAGAGGGATGAAAGGGCCACATGTGGCCTCAGAGCCGTGGGTTGCCCACCCCTGGTCTAGACCTCACCATGTTTAGGCTGTGAGATGACCTATGTTGTAAACTGCGCTATACAAATAAAATTGAATTGAATTGAAGCGTCCTATTTTCTCTGCTGCAGAGAATCACTGTAAAGTTCACACCGACTCCCTTTGATCAGGAGGAACTAGTCAAAGCTCCCTGTGAGCTCAGAACATGCGTTTTTGGCCATAACAATACAACAACAATACATTATTATAACATTTCACATGAATATCTAATAGGAACAAATGATCCATTTAAATTATGTTTGTTTTCCGGTGTTCCAGGCTGAACTCTACAGAGTACGCTGAGCTCAGGGAGAAGCTCCGAGCTCCCATCAGAAACTCTCCCAATGTGGTGATCCACCAAACCATCAGCGAGCTGTTCCTGGAGACATTCAGAGCTCAGGTGGACCTGAATCAAACGTACACACTCCCCAGTGGACAGGTACCGTATGTTGGAGGTAAAGCTCAGCACAAATTCTGTCCTATACTCACAAGTGAAGAGTAATGAACGTCCCTGTGCTGCACACAGGAGGTGGAGCCCTGCATCGGCTGTATGCAGGTTCCAGCCCACACCAAGCTGGTCCGACTGTGCCGTGCAGCAGGTGAGAGTCTGCAGCGTCTTCCTATGTGTGCGTCTTCAGTCATGGAACTGAGTGTGTGACTGCTGTGTGTTACAGGAGCTGATCATGAGTCTGAGTGCCAGCAGTGCTTCTGCAGACCCATGTGGTGTCTGTCGTGTCTGGGTCGATGGTTCGCCAGCCGTCAAGACCAGCAGAGACCTGAGACCTGGTTGTCTAGCAGAGTCCCCTGCCCCACCTGCAGAGCCAAGTTCTGTATCCTGGACATCTCCTTGGTCCAGTGACAAACTGACGTTGTCCTCTCAGAGTAATGTGGAGGTGTGTTTGTATGAAGCCTTCAGCAGCACACCTCTGCAGGTGGAGCTGACAGGACATCAGACTGAACTGAATCCTGCACTTGCTTCTTCTGTTCTTTAATTGGGGGTCATTATTTAGAGCAGGGGGGTCAGACTCCTCTCCATCCTGTTCCACATCAGCGTTGTTGTTGCCCTCAGAGGGCCGGTTCTAACGTTAAGATTATATAAATGTAACGGCTCCTTAACATGCTGTTCCACAATCGTCTCTGCATTGATTCTTTTTTATTCAATGTATAAATATTGTGCATGCGTTTACATAGAAGTCAAATCTATGTGGGCACATGGCTGTATTGTTGTAATATATAGTTTATATTAATGATGATATCAGTTTTTGGTCAGCCCTTCCCCTTATTCTCATCCAGGTATTCATCCACCATGTAGCTGATGAGCAGCTGTGTCTGCATAACCTAGTTATTACTTTCAGTGATACAACACTTGGTTTTGTAAAATAGTTAAATCTGAAAATACATTTATTTTGTCACCAGTCCTCTTCTGACACCACTCACTGACTGGACACAGGCTTGGCTTGGTTGCTGATGCCAGTTTAGTTAGCGGTCACAGTTCTGTTTCCACCATCGGTGGCAGCGGGGGAGTAGCAGATACGCTCCACCATTACCATCCACGTTTACTTCCGTACGCTCGGTGCGTGTGACATCGTCGTGTCCTCTTCAGTGCATGCGGGACACTTTTGGGTCATATGAAGTTCACACAGCAGATCACATCCAAGTCACATTTAATTGGAAATGTGAACGAACTCGCAAAAAATCGGAATTGAGCATTAAGTCCTGCAGTCTGAACGTAGCCAATCTGTCGGATTGTTCAGTCAGATAATACGCTGTTATCCTGATTTGTGACATAAAATGTCATGTTGGAGTTGGAATCCAAGGCTGTCGACATGTTAAGACTGTTTTTAATGGGTTCCGTTCGTTTTTCCTAAAAACCTGTCGGACAGCAAGGTTTTGGATTGTTAAGGATTGGATTATCTCGTCACAACTGTATTTCCTATGAGCTGAGCACATTTTAAATGTCAACACAGCAGTCAATCACATTAAATAGTCCGAAGTGTGATGGCTGTTACCATGTGGACTGTGGTGATGGAGGGTCGTGGTCTACTCTTTGTCCTTACCTGATTCCGTGGAGGTTCCTCTGCCTGCACCTGAACACCACCTACCACCAGGTGTGTCAGACCTCTCCTCTCCTCCAGCCTCCTCTCTGATTGTTTTTACAGATCAGACAGAGAGAGGCTGAGTCAGTATGGATAAATATTATTTCTATCCACAGTACCTCAAGCAGCAACAGCTAGATGTTATGACAGGAGGAACCAGATCAGCCTGATGGTCACCATTCACTCACACAGTGGCTACATGACATTTCAACTCACACACTCTCAAAAAAAAGAACAATCAGACTGCATATGAGACCATTTTGTTGGTTGAGAGCTGAACAACATGAATGCCTCATTTTTCAGATGAGGAACCATGTCTGTGACAGGCCACGTTACAGGACGTGATCTGGAGGAACAGTCTGAGAAATGTTTGATCAACCAAGTTCAACCCAAGTGTCACTGAGGTTTTGGGAAACATTTTTTCTTGGTGTGTTACTCCAGGGTTCAGAAACAGCCAACGCAAAGGGCCAGAAGTGCAGTTCATGGAGGCCAGTTGAGGCCAGTCAGTGCCCATAAAGCCCCATGTTACAACGGCTAGCTTTACAGCAGAAATACACGTTTACAGCAGGATTACATGTTTACAGCAGGAATACACGTTTACAGCAGGAATAAACATTTACAGCAGGAATACACGTTTACAGGCTGGTGCACTAAACAGTTTTGGTCTTGACCACTAATGTCCCAGTTCATGCAACCACACAGGGGACATTTTTATAAACTCATCACTTTAACTGTATGAAGGATCAACATTCTGTCTATGTGGCTGTAGGTTTACGCCAAACTGGACAGAAGCAGAACGTCAGGATGCTCTTCCTGGACGACAGCTCAGCTTCCTACACCAGTCGACCATGCAGGCCGATAGAGAAGCTGAGGACCTTGGCATCCCGACTCCCACCTGGAACTGGATCCTGGGTTTTGATTATGTTAGATAAAACTTTATTGATCCCTTTGGTGGGGTACCTCAGGGAAACTGTACTTCTAGAAGCAGCACAACACTGACAGAGACAGTATATGCATATACAGTACTAGTACCACAAAACTATCATTGAAGTTTTAGATGGTTCATGAATGTACTGTCTTGGCATGATGATATTTTGAAGCTGAAGTGTCTTTGATCATATGATAGACTACTTTTAAAATACAGGCCCTTAAGGACACCTTTACCTGTGACCACACAGCAACACTTGTAACTGCACGTCATTTCCAATAAAGGCTGATTGATGAACAGGATTCTAAAAGAAGCTGTGACAGCACCCTAACCCTAACACAAGGAGGACTCCACAAGGTAAAGAAGTGCCAGAAGTAATGAGCATGAGCTGACACATAACTGCAGTAGTGGTTAGGAGCTAGCAGGCATCCTATGTCACACACAGTCACCTTTATGGATAGTGATATCTGTTAGGCCAGATGTGTGGACCACGTGTAGGACAATGTAGGCCATTTGGACATTTAACATGTATGTAGAAATACATAAGAAATGATGCTGAAGTGTGATAACAATGAGAAGGTTGAAAGAAATAATAATAAAGACTGAGAGCCTGGTGGAGGAATATGAACCGTTGTCATGCACTTGCAGCCAGCTGAGCATGACGTCCAGCTCCTGACAGGACAGTGGAGTCAGGTGATAATCACACAGCAGTTGCTCACTGTAAAACAAACTGTATTTAATTAAAGATGAGCTGTAGGTCTTATCAGCAGCATGTCATTGTCCAATACATACGTACAGATGGACTGAACATGACTGACTCTTCACATTTTATTCTCAAAGCATGTTTCAGTATTCGTTCAGTGAATGTGGTCGTCAGAAAATACTCCACAATATTGTTGTGATATCAATCCACAGTCAGTTGATAAGACTGCTCCAGAATGTTTGATGTGGACCTGACCAGGACGACCACAAAGATCCTGGAGGTGGAAGTGTGCCAGTGGGTCGGAAAGTGTGAAAGACTGAAGGCCTTTATGGAGGCACTTGAAGAGCAAACCTTGTCAGGTAGCTGTTGTCACTTACAGTACTTCTGGAGAAGTTCAAAGTAGAAGGCAGACCAAGCCATGCCAACAAAGAACAGCAAAGAACAATAGTGTGAAGAACAGTGGAACATCGTGGTGTCATCATCACAGTCCAATGTTTCATCAGAAATATTGGCAACTTGACTTTATTTCTGCCTAGGACAAGTTAGGGATACTTTGAGAAGTTTGTCGAAGCTATATCGTCTCAATCTATGATGAATTGTGTAATATGGTCCTCACCCAGGCACCTTAACCATGAAACATGAAGACTTGCAGTGAGACTCACAGCAGGTCACCATTATTCAGGCACCAGGATATCACATGAGATATGACACGAGAATCATCAGTCACCTCAAGGTTCTAATCTGATACTGCCATCTTAGCAGGTTTGGGGGTTTCTTAAGAACTAAAGTTGGCGGATTTATAGCCAAGGAGCTTCCATCCTTGCCTGTTAGCTCCAGCCTGCTAGTTACAATCTATTCCCCTCCCTTCAGGAGATGCATGGCAAGGAATCAATTGTCACATTTCGAGGCAACTAAGCATCAGTCTATATTAGGACTGCTTCTCACTCTCATCTGGTCTTCTTTCCCTACAGCAGCCTTGCCAACGTTTGACCATCTAATCAAGTCCACATAATCTGGTTCAATACTTGTTCGCTTCGCTTAGTCTATAAACTTGATTCTGAAGTCTAGTTTCATTTAAGAAATTTAGATCCTGCAGTTTCCAGCTTTGGGAAATGGTTTCGTTGCCTCCTCTCCAGTGGCCAAGATGTTCATTCAGAGACAACAATGATTATCTCACCATTTCATATTCTTGGTGCAAGTCTGTTCTCACTTACGGTCTGGGTGTTTAGTCGATATGTAAGTACCATCTTATAACGGTCCTTCTCGTAGCTTATAGTGTTTCTTACGGGAGGTCCAATCCACACTGAAAAGTTCTCGTCCATGCATGACTTTCTATACCTGTCTTCTCTTAAGTTTAGCATAAGCATCCATCGACTTTAGACTTTCAAGCTGATTAATATCATAAGATGCTCCAATCTCTATTGCCAGCACTGATATGCTTCTGTCCCTTCTCTTTCATGATTCATGCCTGGATAGTTAACCAACACGAGCTGAAATGAGCCTCAGCAACTTGGACTCTGGAAGGCCCTTCCCAGGCCCTGGTTTGCTTGCCTCCACCTCCCATGCCAATTCCGTGGTCTCCCTTAATCTATGCAACTTATTCTTTTGCTCATCCTTCGCAGCACATGAACATTTCCCTGCCTAAAAGCATTAATTCTGCTTAGAGGACACAGATGCTTGTGTTGTACATGATCAGGATTACTGCATGTTGTTGGGACGCATTTTTATGTCGGTTCATGAAGGTTATGAATGCCCAGACAGTGGAAGGGGTGCTTGGCATTTGCTCATAGTCTCTCTTTTGGTGTAATTCCTTTGTATCAGTCACTGAGGTGATCCTGGTTTCCTGCCTCCAGATAATAATACTAATAATAATAATCATAATCATAATCATAATCATAAACATAATCAGAAGAGGAAGAAGAAGAAGAATGGATTAGATTATGAAGCGCTTTCTTACTCAGGAAGTGACTCAAGGCACATCCACTGTAAATTATCCATTTACACACACATAGTTTCATTCCCATATTGAATATTTCCTCTGGATCAGGGCACTGTGGCCAGTGTGTTGCCGCATGTTCTTCTGCCTGCTCTCGGCGGGTGCTGATTCTCGCATGCAGTTGAGAAGGTCTCACCAGAATTCAAAGGAAATGCGACAGGGCTGTCGCTACACATAGTTTCATGGGAGCACGGTTTGTGATCTCTGGGACTATCTGTGTCATGCTTGCTCAGATTGTTCCAGAGCATCACTCGAGCAAAGTCACCACCAAGCTCAATGTATGTGATCCCAAGTAAATGGGTAAATCTGACAAAGTGTCCTGTCTGAACTAAGGAGATGGCTGGAAATTTCTGACTATGAAGAAAGTAATAAAACATTAACTCTCTCATTATTGTGGCATTTAGCAAATAGAAATAATGTTGGTAGTCCTGAGCAGGCCAGCTGACAGCCTTCCCTGCCCCCCCCCCACTCACCCACATCTCCCCTTTTCTTTGCTCTTCCTCTCCTGTTCCTCTCCTCACCTGCTCCTCACCTGCTCCTCACCTTGCCTCCTCTTATTCTCCTCTATTCTGCTTTCTTTACATGTGGGGCAGCAAGCCCCTCCCGCTCCACCGTGACTCGCTCCCTCTCTCAGTCTCATCCGTGGTCTGACTCTGTCCCTCTGTTGCGGACCAGCGGGCCCCTTCCTCCTC